AGTCCTGGGATGGAAAAGTGGAGCTGCTACCCCCGTACTCGATGGTGGTCGGGCGGGGGGCATCAACATCGTCCACATTCTTGGGGTGGACATCCTCAGCGGCCTCATCCTCAGGAGCATCGGGTTGGTCCTTCGTCGGTAGTGGTGGAGCAGGAAACCCCGCGATCCACTTGACGCCACGCTCGACTCACACCAGGTGCATATGCTGGATCGTGTCTTCGCTGAAGACACTAGCGCCCCCTGCTCTGTGCAACCCTGCAGTGGGATCTGGAAGTAGGTGGCCAGGCAGGTGATGAGGGGGGTGCAGTGGAGGGTCACCAGTTGTTTAGCACTCTTGTCCAGAGTCCTGGCCACCACAGAACCTAGGTGGAGAGGATGGTCCGCCATGCGGATGGATTGGATGAAGTACATGGACCGCTTGGTGAGGGTGCTGGAACTTTCCCCAGCTGGAGTGTAGGACTTCGCCAGTATGTGGTGGAGAATGCGGTCATCGAGCTGCAGGGTGCTGGCCTTTATCCGCCCTGCAAGGAAGGGACGCTGGCCAGGCTGAGCTAGGCGGGTGTACAACACCTTGAAGTTAACACCCACTGGATCGTTGAGCTCGGTGACGTAGTCCATATCATCATCCAGGCCGAGGTCGAGAGCGAGCGCCAAATCGTGGTAGCTCATAGAGCGGGGCTCACCGGCGAGCCTGAACTTGACAGCTTCACCGTCCGCCCAGTCCTTTGTATATATCTTCGTGCTAGAAGGTCGTATAGAACTCGAGCACCAGCTCGTGGTAGACCTTCTCTCGAATGGACAGCAGACGGCGCCAAAGGCGACTGGTGGCAATGGCGAGGAAGTGGTCGTAGCAATGTAGCTTCTCAAACTCCCTCCTGGACCAGTAGTGATGCTTCCCAAACAAGGAGGCCAGGACGCGCTTAAAGCGATCCTGGTGGGGGCCCCTCTTTAAATCCCGAATGAACGGGTGCTTGAGGTCGGGTTTCATCATGGTACTGCAAAAGAACAACCCAAAGTGGAGCCAAAAGAGCCATAGAAAAGGTTAATCACACTCCCACACTTGATAGCAGAAAACAACCGAACTATAGTTTCATCCATAGTTCGGGGGTCAATAACTCGAGCAAACAAGCACAATCTGGGCAGGGGTGCACATCCACAAGAAAGTAGGCAATTTAAGGTTCACATCCATAGCAAATACACCATCAAAACACATCATTAAGGGCCCCAACCGGCTCCCACAAAATGGTATGAAAAACTGGCATTTCATCGAACACCTTTTGTGCACTTTTAAGTTAAGCATAGAATGGGCGAATTCATAGCACACAAGGGCTCAATCAAGCATAAGCAACATTGCCCAACATAATCCACACATAAACCAAGCATTCCCCTCAATCAATTTCACACAATTCACACATTTCAAAGGGATTCTCTAAACATACACCCTAACACCCAATTCTCCTTAATTCACAAGGTAAAGGGTAAAATCAAACCTGAACACACAAGTAGAGGTGTAGGGGATGATGAGGAGAAGGCAGTGGAAGCGATGGAAACCCGAAAAACTACCCAAAAATGCTCGTCGAAGCCTCGCCAGAATCTCGCCAAAAATCGCCTCCGGCAACTCAAAAACGGTCTAAATCGCCTCAAAATCGAAGGATAGGCCAAAAATGAGGAGGGAAGGGTGGGTGTGGAGTTGGTTTGGTGAAAAATCGACAAAAAATGGCCGGAAAAATTGCCAAAGAGGTGAAAGGGCGCGGTTTTCCGGCGAGGGGGGGGGGGTGGGGGGATTCCGGCGAGGGGTTTTTGAAATTCTGGCCGACGCGGCCGTGTGGGCCAATTTATAGGCACCCGGGTCGACCACACGGGCAGGCCACACGGCCGTGTGGCTTGGGTATTTGCCCGTGTGTGGCCGAGAAATCCACACGGGCAGGTCGAGTTTTTCACACGGCAGTGTGAGGGACCCCTGCTGCCCGTGTGGAAATCACAGGGACTTCACACGGCCAAAGGCTACTTCCACACGGCCGTGTGGAATTTAGGCCTGGCCGTGTTGATTTCGAGAGCCCCGAATCCAACCCCTTTTCGTGAAAAATCGACACTCGAACCTTGGACAACCTCATGACTCAAAAACACAAAAAATCAAAAGGAAAAAGGAAAGGAAATGCAAACCTAGGTGGGGTTGCCTCCCCACAAGCGCTTCTTTACAGTCTTTTAGCTGGACGCCCATGGCGGAACTAAGGGTCCACGAGTTCCACTACCAACTCCGCACGTTCGACCTCGTCCCTCAAGTAGAGCTTGAGACGATGGCCATTTACTTTAAACGGTCCTGTTTGCGGATTGGCAATTTCAATCGTGCCATACGGGAACACCTGTCTGCCGTGAATGGTCTATACCACCGGGAACGGAGCTTTTCGGGAAAGAGCTTCAGGCGAGAGTTATAGAGGAGAACTCGATCACCAACCTGAAACTCCTTCGGACCCCGCAACGTGCATCGTGCAGGCTCTTAGTGCGCTCCTTGTACAACTTGGTGTTCTCATAGGAGTGATAACTCCATTCCTCCAGCTCCAGCATCTGCATTTTGCGCTCAACACCTGCAACACTAACATCCAAGTTAAGCAGCTTAAGGGCTCAAAAGGCCTTGTGCTCTAGCTCCACGGGAAAATGACATGCCTTTCCATAGACAAGGCGGTACGGTGAAGTACCAATGGGTTTCTTGTAGGCAGTGAGGTATGCCTAGGGAGCATCATCGAGCTTGGTGGACCAATCCTTGCGGGACTGATCCACCGTCTTCTCCAGGATACGTTTGAGCTCCCGGTTCGTCAGCTCGGCCTGGCCACTTGTTTGAGGGTGATAGGCCACGAACACCTTATGAGTCACACCATAGCGAGACAGTAACTTATCAAACTGGCCCTGGAAATTGGTGCGTCGATCGCTTATGATGGCTCTAGGTGTCCCGAAACGGGAGAATAGCTGCTTCAAAAAACCACAAACACGTCTAGCATCATTATTGGGCAAAGCTTGCGCCTCAGCCTACCTAGAGACGTAGTCAACAACAACCAAGATATAAGTATTGCCAAAGGATGGAGGGAAGGGGCCCATGAAGTCGATACCCCAGACATCAAAAATTTCACAGGTTATAAACACATTCTGGGGCATCTCATCACTCGCAGAGATGTTACCTGACCTCTGGCATCGATCGCACCTGCGTGCGAAGGCGTCTGCGTCCTTGAAGAGCGTGGGCCAGTAAAAGCTTGATTGTAGCACCTTCCTCGCCGTGCGGTTTCCTCCATGGTGACCGCTAGTCGGTCCTTCATGAAAGTGAGATAGAATGTCCTCCATTTCACTCTCCATAACACAGCGACAGATGATCCCGTCGGCTCCGATCCTGAAAAGATGAGGGTCATCCCAGAAGTAATGCTTCAGGTCGGAGAAGAATTTCCTCATGGTGTGAGTTGTCATCCCCTTAGGCAACTGCTGGCCCACCAGATAGTTCACAAAATCGGAGTACCAAGGGGTGAAACTCTCCACCAGGCTCATCATTATCAGTCTCTCAACTGGGAAGGAGTCGTTGATCTCCTCCTTAAGGTTGTCCGCAGGAGGTGCGTCCAACCGGGAGAGGTGATCGGCTGCAACATTTTCAGCTCCCTTCTTGTCCCGAATCTCGATGTCGAACTCCTACAATAGTAGGATCCATCGTATGAGCCTAGGCTTGGCATCGGCCTTTCTCATCAGGTATCGAATCGCGAAGTGATCTGTGTACACGGTCACATGGGACAAGACCAGATAAGGGCAAAACTTGTCGAAGGCAAACACCATCGCAAGCAGCTCCTTCTCCGTGGTAGTGTAGTTCTCCTGGGCATCATTTAGGGTCTTTGAGGCGTAGTAGATAGGTCGGAAGTGTTGATCTCGCTTCTGCCCCAAAACAGCTCCAACAACAAAGTCACTGGCATCGCACATCAGCTCAAATGGTAGTGACCAGTCAGGAACAACCATGATAAGAGCTTGGGTGAGCTTCTCCTTCAAGGTCGTGAATGTCGCGGTGCATGCATCAGTGAACTGGAAGGGGGCATCCTTCTCAAGGAGCTTAGTCAGGGGCAGGGCGATCTTCGAAAAATCCTTGATGAACCGCCTGTAGAACCCTGCATGACCTAAAAAAATTCCGGATCCCCTTAACAGATGTAGGAGGAGGTAGCTTGCTAATAGTCTCAATCTTCGCTCTGTCCACCTCAATCCCCATCTTGGAGATCTTATGCCCCAGAACTATGCCTTCGCGAACCATGAAGTGGCACTTCTCCCAACTCAGTGCCAAGTTCGTTTCTTCACACCGTTTAAGGACAAATTCCAGATTATGGAGACAGTGAGAGAATGAGTCTCCATAAACCGAGAAATCATCCATAAACACCTCCATAATCTCGCCGACCAGGCGGTCAAAGATGGCGAGCATGCATCGCTGAAAAGTGGCAGGGGCATTGCATAGCCCGAATGGGATCATCCGGTAGGCAAATGTGCCGAAGGGGCAGGTGAAAGTGGTCTTCGCCTGATCCTCCAGTGCAATGGGGATCTGGAAATACCTAGTCTCTCCAGCTTATGATCAATGAATGGCAGCGGGAAGTGGTCCTTCCGAGTGGCGTCATTGAGACGCCGATAATCAATGCAGACACGGTACCCAGTCACCGTGCGCACCAGGATGAGCTCATTCTTCTCGTTAGGCATCACGGTCATCCCACCCTTTTTGGATACCACCTGGGTGGGATTGAACCACTCCCTATCTGAAATGGCGAAGATGATTGTAACATCCCGTTCCGGCAAAACCCATATTTCGATCGCTAGAAAATTTCACGATTTAAAATCGAGCATTTCGACACTATTTCGGCGAAAATCGGATTATCGATCGATCGGATAAGTATACGTATTAATTATATATATATATATATATATATATATATATATATATATAATTACACTAAGCGGCCGAATATATAAACTTTCCCTGTCCATTTTAATCCTCATCATCGTCTATTTCCACCACTGAGAGAAGGAAAAAAAAAAAAAAAAAAAACAGACCGAGCAGGGCGCACAGGGCATCGCGACGGGAAATTTCCAAAGCTCCAATCTTGAGTTTTAGTGATCCAAAAATCCCGTAAGTAATGCCTAATTCATCCATACATCGTGATTTATTGATTTAGAGCTTTAAAACGAGTTTTTGGTTCAGGAATTTCTTGAATTCCCGATAAGCCAAATTAGGGTTTCGGAGTATCCGGAAGCCGGATTGAGCCCAAATTTCATATACGAGCTTCGTGCAGCGAGGTAATCAATCCTCTAGTTCTAATCCCTGAATTTCGGCTATTATTTAGGCCTGGGTCCAAACCGCTGAATTTAGCTCCGGCCAGGGTTTGATGTGTTTTTATCAAGAATTTGACCCGGAGCCTAGAACTAATATCGACGGGATACTGGAGGGTATATTAGGACGGTCTCGGATTTTCATTCGAGGTTCGTTCGTGAAATTGACGTTTTAGTACGGGAAGGTTAAACCGGTGTTTGAACGACCAGAACTGGTGAGGGATTAGCACGGCATACCGGGTTTGTCGTATCACGATAATTATATTGATGCTTAGAATTGACCTAGGTGAACTAGAATGGCATGATTAGGTGTGTATGGACTTTTATGCTATATGGTGCACCATGGATTGTTGTATGATATTATTGACTTGCCCTAGCCGATATGAGCCTTGTTTATGTTGATGATTGCATACATGTTGCCATTTGTGGCTTAACCGTTGATATGACTTCATGGCTGTTCGATCAGGTGTTTTGACATGATGTGATATTGTGGTTGTTTTTGGATTCACAAGTGGGGGAAATAAACTTCCCAGGGTGATATTATGATGTTTAAGGAGGATGACTTGCACGAGGGTTTATCCCGAGGAAGTGCAACTATACGACTCCTGATTTACCTATGTTGAGCCAATTATGGCCAGGTCAAGTACATGTGTAAGTAATGAATTATGATTAAGCAAGATGAGATATGAATCATGTATAAGGATACCAAATATGAATCATGTATAAGGATACCAAATATGAGTGTTGTATTGGGGTCAATGTGATACATTATAAAAAAGTAAAACAATATGTATCTTCATACATACATATTATCATTGTAGGGGAAATAAATGACAAAATAAATAGGTGAACGCGAAAAAATAGAGTAGTAAGGGGGGATCTAAGAAAATTAAGCAGTATTTGTGTAAATACTTCAAGGTTTAGGGGTATGAGTTATATAGAAAAGAGGGGGACCACTTTTAGGCGATTTGAGACTACATTGATCGTCGTTGCTTACACGCTCTTTTTCCGTCATTTCTATCTAGTCTTCTTTGTTACTCTTTACCACTCAGGCACTCACCCTTTAAATCTTATCAAACAGAAAAGAAAGAGTCGGAGTCATGTGATCCGCCTCTTTCTTACTTCCACTCGTCGCTTCTCAAGTCGAAATGAGTCGTGTATTGCCGGAGATGGAGGTCGCCTCCGGATTGAACGGTTCCCCACATAATTGAGCTCCTTCATTTGTGGTCTTCAAATTGCAGCTCCATCTATGTGTCCACCATCCTTGCCGTGTGAGCATATTCTCACTACTTAACCTATGAGCACCATAACCGAGTGGGCGAGTGGTCGGCAAGAGAAGAGCCAAATGATTGCGAAGGCTAACAATTCGGACCAGTCATATAGTACAGCCAATGGATGGCGGGCAGGAAGGCGAAAAATAGTAAGCAGAAATAGCTCGCCCCTTTTCCCATAAAATGGCGGGCGGAGGCAGATGGGTCTTCCTCCCTCCTTCCCTCCCCAATTAATTTAATTGGTGGGTTTCTCTGTCAGATGTTTCCGTGCACGTCACCGCATCCAATCATCCCTCACAAACGACGACATCGTCCACCTATTGACCTGCTACAAAATGCTCGTCCCGACTGCTCCTCCGCCATGAGAAATTTCAGCCGCAAAGCGATCCTCTCATCTTTCAACACCGTCCAACGCCACAGCCTCGCCATTTCACCCGGCCATCCCCAAATGGCAGCCACGACGACAACGATTGAAGCAAAACGGGGAGGGTCAATTGACGACAAGGAGGAACAGGAGCAGACGAAGGAGAAGGCGATTCCTCCTCCGCCGCCGCCGGAGAAGCCTGAGCCGGGAGATTGTTGCGGCAGCGGGTGCGTGAGATGTGTGTGGGACGTTTATTACGAAGAGCTGGAGGATTACAACAAAACGTACCCGACCGGCTGATCCGCATCCAGTTCGCAAGCTTCTTGACGGCGAGCAGCTATCGACCTTGCTTTTAGCCGTGGGTGGGATTGTTCCTTTCGATTTTCATCCCTACTTTCTATTATTTCGATTTGTGGGCGGAGAAATTTCTCCGATTTGTGATTTTCATCATCCAAAACATGGCTCCTTGTGCCTTGACATGGCTTCTTTGAGAGGTAAGTATAAGGATTCAGTTGCAAGATTCAGTCTTTTGCACAAGTCTGGTTTATTTTGACCGAATTACTACTCGGGAATGGAAAAAAAAATGTTGGGTAGATCGGCCTCTGCAGATTGTGTTACTGTTATGTGCGTTGCTGGTATAAAATCAAATTCTCTTCTTTGAATCAGTTTTCCAACCAGGTCAACTCTGAGATCTTCCGCTTCATTGATCTTCGATGGCCTCACAGTGGATTGACATTCTGCAGTTGATTTCATCAGGTGCAAGGCTGCCATATTGATCATTTTGTCTAGTTTGTGAGTGTAACTACAGCATGGAAAGAGAGATGTCATCTGGTTTCCGAAGCTAGCAACAGCAGTGATGATGTTTTGGATGATGTTTTAATGATTATGTGATGTGAAAGGTAAACAATGCATGCATTGTCACATATAATGTGAATCAACTTTGAGTTGATGGGAGAATGTTTAATCATCTTAAAACAAAATCATAAAATTTCTTTCTATTATGTGTTTAATTAATGTTCTTTTTCTGTGTTGTTGTTTCAATATTATATTATCTATTTTGTATTTTATGCTTTTTTAGACAAATACGACAGATAATCTAATAGTGAAACTTTTTGTAGGTTCCCTGATTTTTGTACAACATGTTGCACATATTCATTGTCATTAGGCAGAAGCAAAGTAAGAAATCAATTGTGTATTTATTTTTATGTTTTTTGTGTTAAAACTAAACCTTACATAAATTATTTATGCAAGCTGATCAAGTTTATCAAGGTATCTCGAGACAAATATTGATAACTTTTTCTACAAATTATCATTCTTACTTGTTCAGATTTGGTGCTTCAGATGTATCACATTTTTCATTTGAAAGTATAAATCTCATGCTTGTAAATAAACCTTAAAAAGTTACCATAAAACTTAGAACCTCCAACTCACGGCCTTGGGCATATGTCTGAGCAACACTATAAGGATCTAATTGATAATGAGACCCACAAGCTAATAAAGACACATAATAGTCATTTATTAATTATAATTCTTCATGAAATTAAGCTCGACATAGAAATTGAACTAATTGTTAGCGGGTATCAGCATCCTCGATAGGTCTTAAATGACAATGGTCTATCGATCATAAAGTAAGCTTGTTATTATTAATTTTTGTTTGTTGTCAGTAATCTCTTGATTGAACAACATATTTGACCTTATGTCGTTGAGTTAAGCTTAAAGATGTTGTTTACATATATTTGCGAGTTTTAAACTTCATCATTAATCATAAAAATTGCAAAAAACCGATATGCATGGACTAAGCTTATGTGATCGCAAAGGAAAATGGATGAGATAAAATACAATGGTAATTTGGCTATATCTGTTATGCACTTAAACGAAACAACATAAATTTGTTAATGAGCAAGAGTCGGGTTAAGAATTCCAAAGTCTTCGTCTTCTAGTCAAGATAATTTTTAATGTAACAAAGAGCGAAATCCCTAAGGAAGTCGACTATATGTTGTCCCTACTTGAACTATCGAATCATTACTCATTGTTCGTAAGAGGTTAACTTTGCTAGTTTTCATTTTCTTTACTAATTTATATATTTTACAAGTACCAGTTCTAGGATTTATATACTTTCATCCTTGTACCTGGAGTTGGGTGGAGAGTCGCATGGAATACCTTCAAATACTACTCTCATTTTCCACTTCTCGGGACCCCCGCCTCTCATTAATAACAACTCATCCTCACAAAATAGTAAATTAGTCTATTTTGTATCCCCTTCCATTGTTGTAAAAAAATTCAAACAAATACATACAATTGCTAAAAAAATTGTGTTTGTATCTTGATTTTGCATCTCATGCAAACAAAGTTTACATTGAAGATAAGTTCAAATAAGCCAAGCTAAATATCTAACAAAATCTTAAATTTTAGATATTTATGTTTTCCATTTTGATATATGTAATGACAGTTTAAAAATAATGTATTGTCAATTTAAGCTAGTTTTTATTTTGAAATTTAAATATAACTATACAAATATTTTTCTTCTTACTTTGTTAGAGGTTGGATGACAAACAATTAGTGAAAATTTTCTTCTCATGGCCTTTGATAAAATACTTTGAAAACAATGGTAGAAAAAAAATGGTATCCTATGTATTTGCCTTAATGCTACTCCCATTGTTTAGGTGTCAGACCTGTGTTCTTATGTATCCGCTGTATTGGGAGATATATGAGCAAAATCATAAAATCTATTTATATTCCATTTTAAATTATGTTTTTTATTTTTTTATATATCCGTTGTATTTTTTATGATTTGTTAAAGAAGTACGGTAGATGACATTATAGAGAAAATCTTTTGTACATTTCCTGATTTTTGGACCACTTTTTACTCATGTATTATGCAGATAAAAAGTAAGAAAACAACTGTGTATAAATTAACTATGCATGTAAATCAAGTTTATCAAGGTATATTGAGACTAATGATAAGATCTTTTTCAACGTATTATCGATATTGGGTCATGTATTTATATTTTTTTGTTCTTCTTCTTTTCTAACAAAAAATTAATGACTACTTGTGCGAAAGATAAACAATGCACATATTATCCCATATAATATGGATAATATTAGAGTTTATGGGAGAAGTTTCAACTATGATAAAAAAATAAGATCATAAAATCTCTTTATATTTGATTTTGAATGATGTTAATTTTTATATTTATTATTTTAATATTAAATAACATTTTTGTTCTTCTGCTTTGTTAGACGTCTATGACATATGACCTGATAGTGAAACTCTTTTGCTTGTTTCTTGAATTTTGGACGACTAATGAATAACAATGAAACGATAATTAAAGTGGATGACTAATAAGAAAGAAAATTTCTTGGGTGTCAATGTGATACATTATAAAAAGTAAAATAATATATATCTTCATACATACATATTATCATTGTAGAGGAAACAAATGACAAAATGAAAAGGCGAACCCAAAAAATAGAGTAGTAAGGGGGGTTCTAGGGAAATTAAGCAGTATTTGCGTAAATACTTCAAAGTCTAGGGGTATGAGTTATATAGAAAAGAGGGGATCACTTTTAGGCGATTTGAGAATTTTTTGAATTTTACCTGATAAAATGCTATTTTGTTGCTCATTCTACCAATAAAATCATAGTTTGAAATTACTATTGAGTTTATTTAGCGTTTGTTTTTTTTGTGATGAAATCGACGATTTTGTTATTATTTCGATTCTAAGTATATTTTTGTTTGAAATGTTGAAACCGACCTCTTTACTTGTATTTGGTTTTGTATCATTGCTCACCGCTCACGTTCAAACTCGAATAGTAAAATGAGAAATCTATCATTCCAATTGAAACAGTTCAAAGTGATTTCAGAACCGATGAAATTATATGATATTTTATTTCATCTTTTCCCTTTGTTTTTACGTTGAATTTTTCATATTATATATCTCTCTTCTCATTTCCATCTTAATTGAGAATCATGATAAATCCTAAGCTTTATCTCTTTTTTTTTTTGTTGGATTGAAACATAAGTAAAATCAACCCTTCTTTGTTCTTTCCATTTCAGATGCTTAATTTTCTTAACCTCTTAATTAATAATTTTTTACCTTCAAATTGTATAGGTTCTACTTACTCGATAGTATACTAATCGTTCTTCTCCAATTCATAACCTCATTGGCCAATGAGTGCATATTGTTATGGAGCTCTCCACAATATATTTGTAATTTTTTGCTGGTTTTGCGGTTATACTTAAATTTTGTTAATTATTTCATACAAAATATTTATTGTGTTAGTTTCCACTCTAGTTGATATTTTTGATAGATAATAAGTAGAGTTTTATGTCACCATTCAATAACTAGTTGTTCATAATCTTACGAACTTCAGGGGTATTTTTCCAAATTTGTATATATAAACAATAGAGTTTCATGTCACTATTCATTTCAAACGCATAAACTTCAAAATTCACTAATTAATAGTTGTTGAGCTTCAAATATGTCAATCAGCATCCTATGCTCTATAACCTCATTAGTTAGCGAGTACAAGCAAGCAGGTTGTTTATAATTCAACATGACAAAACATATATATAAATGTAACAGTAAACTTACTATGATCCTCAAGCTTCAACTTTCTCTTGTTGTTCTAGTTTTCAATCTAATTCATATACTAGGGGTTGAGAGTTACGAGTGAATTGAAGTAAACAAATTCCTCATAATTAAAAGGAGGTTAGTCACACTGTCATACCAAAATCACAAATAGGGAGATGTGCTAGTCCTCATAATTAAAACGGGAAATGTTATCGTTAGTTTTTTATAGGAATCACAAGACAATAGTTAGAAAGAACCACTGCCCACAATCTCTTCCCATCCCATTAACAAGTTACACTACAAAATCATAAGAAGCTAACTCTAGCCGAAACAACAAAATGACTTTACGTACCACTCTATGGGCATAGTTGGCAGTCTACAGAACCGCCCTAAACTCTATACAACGAGGAAAAGACTCAAGAAAAAGTCGAAGGAGAGGGCATCCAATGGAATCATCCATCACACCGAAGTTGAGTTGAGGGATGACCACCTCTGTATCGCATTCGATGATGACACGAGGTAAAATTCTAGAAGTTGCAAGAGACATCGCATCCATATCTGCAAGAAATCTGTGAGGTACTGATCATAAATCCTCTTATGTTGAATACCCTAGGCAAGAAGCACATGCCCGTCCGCCACGAACAACAAGGCCCGACGAGTAGCCAGAAGCTTGGACAACAACCTCGAAATTGATCTTCATATGCTCTTTTAGGAGGGCATTCCCAAGGCGGGCTAGCAGACGCAAGAGACAAGGCAGGGAAGGTGAGGCTGGTGCCTGGTGGTAAGCAGGGGCTAAGTTCAGGTTCTTAAGCCTCATTTCTTAAGGAAGATCTTAAAATGTTTCTATTGGTTGGTTGGGTATTAGGTAGTTAATAAGAAGTTATAAGTTAATTGGTTAATAAGGGTATTTAAGGAATACTAATTAATATAATAAATATATAATTAACCCTATTAACCAGCCTCCTCCCCATATATTTCTCTTCTCCAATCCGAACGGATACTCTCCTCAGATTCCGCCGCTGCCTTCTCGTCGTTATCCCCCTTGCCGTCGCGTTACCACACCAATCAGCTACTTCTCTCGGTTTCCCGCCTAGTTCCGGCTTGCCGTCGAGTTCCCTCAATAGCGGCATCATGATGCATGCACACATCCTTGGGCCTTATGGCCGAGTAATGTTTGGTACTTGGGGATAAATTATTGGTTAATTGTAGGGTTATTATGGTTATTTGTAATATTTGTATTAGTTTATTGTGTCTTGTTGAGTAAGTTATTAGCTAACTTGTTAGAGTGGGATAGGGTTAGCTATTAGGTTTTCTTACGTTTTTCCTATAAATATGTACTTTGTGGTTCAGTTAATATAATGAGAAGAAGTATATTCCAGTTTATCGTTATGTTTTCTTAGGAGTAGACGTAATTTAGCTAAAGAATCCCGATGCAGGAAGACGTCACGCATCATATCGCTCCGGCTTCCGATGCTGCTTCCGTCCTTTTCCCTCTCCCGTCGTCAGCCTGTTATCAATGGCTTGTCGTGGAGCCATTGAAGGCTTGAGCTTCAGAGACATCGCAGAGAGCGAGAAAGATGATGGAAAGGAAGAAGAGAAGGTGATTTGGGGAAGCGTAGTTCAAGGATTGTTTTTTTTTTCGTCGGTGGAGGGTTGGAGAAGAAAAGAATCGGGATATCTTTTGAGCGTCTCATGAACTGGCCAAGATCTAACGCACCAGGGATGATTGTTTGGGTATCGAGCGTCTGCGTGTATTGGGTTTTGGTGGGAAGGTATCATTTTAGCATATGTAGAGTTGTGTTCTTGCGGTGGGATTTTTTGACGGGTTCAGGTTGGGGCAAGAGTAAGCTTTGGTGGGATGGGAGACTTGAAAATTACCAATAATGTAAATTGATGTTATCAACATTTATGCAAATGATCATTAATAAAATATACTCATTTTAGGATATTTATAGTAAGTTATCAGCATTTATCAATGTTTATGCAAAGTATCATTAACAAAATAAAGTCATCATTATTAATGTTTTCTATAACATTTTAGGATATTTACAGTAAGTTATTAACAATACCTCTTCACTTATCAACGTTTATGTCACATATCATTAAACATTTTGATGTATTATTAACGAAGTAAAAAAAATAATATCTCTTCATTTATCAACATGTATGTCATGTATCATTAAACATTTTGATGTATTATTAACGAAGTACAAAAAAACACAATATCTCTTCATTTATCAACGTTTATGTCATGTATCATTAAACATTTTGATGTATTATTAACGAAGTACAAAAACATTATCACCTCTTCTCAAATCATTTTGTTGGTTGTTTACAAAATTATTATTAATGGGCAAGCACCGACAGAACCAGAAGCGCCCCTTGTTTCAAAGAGAGGAGGACGAGTTATTCACATTTTATTTGATGAAAAATAATCGATTATCTACCCAAGAAGATAGAGAGTTTGAACTTAATTCAACACATATTACACCGTAGTCATCAACCACGCGTCTATTATTAATTATATTATTGTAATTGTCAATCTATATTATTAAACCTTGCTAACCACTATGCGACTATTATTAATTATAATATTTCAATTATTTAACGGAACCACATCGACTAATATCCAATTTTATCCATCACTTATCAACTTTTTTCCATTACTTATTAACAATCTCAAATTACTTTATTAATGTCATTATCAACCAAACCTATCAACAATTTCAACAACAAACAAAGCCAACAAAAAACTTAACCTTTCAACAATATAGTACCCAAATAACATGAACCAATTCATACCAAACTAAAAAAAAACTCCATATTAGCGGAATAAATTGGTCGTCGCGGAACGGGCACATGGTCGGAGTATTGGTGCCGTGAGTGCAAAGGTGTTGTCGGGAAACGAGGACGCAGACCACCGAAGATGTTGGGCCATCAGAGCATTTGATCGCAATTGTGACGTCCGCTGGTAGCCAGCTACAGACGAGGGAGACACGATTGAGCGGTTAGGGATTTATTTCCATTTTTGGGTCGTGGAATTTATTTCCCGTTTCCATTTTAATTATTAATGTTATTAATGTTTTATTATATTCCATTCTTGTCCTTGTAGGTAGTTAGCTAATGATTAGTGGTGATTATCTCTCTCCTCCCCCCACCAAGAATTTTGAGAGTTTCGTATAAATTGTACCGGTATTTGGAAATTTTGTATAAACAATAGCATAATTTGATAAATATGTTACTGCGCAGAAGTGAAATATAAGTTTGAGGTAGTCCCGCGGTAGAGAAATTTGGTTATGATTTGTTGATCAGGGGTTCGATTTTAAACGACATTAGATTTTTCAGTGTAGTTTTAATAGATTATCCTGTTTTGCTTTCCTAATTATAAGGTCGGAATGCGTTAGCCTGGTTCCTTTTTTTTAAGTAGCCACCATGGCTACCTCCTTTTTGGCCATACAGATTAGAGAAATTCAATCTGAGGGGCCATATTGTTGAAGGGTGTTTTGGGAAGGGACCACAGGATCATTACTGGGCCCGAAATCAAAGCCTTGCCCCACGCTTCCTTGTTTCTTTCCTTCTCAACGCATTCCCCCAAAACCCTTTTCCCTTTTGCAGAGAGCAGAAGGTTCTTTTCCGCCGCCTCTGATAACACGTTCGCCCCGTCCTCGATCAAGGGTTCGGAGCCACCATCCGTGCGATTAACGGCATCGAGTGTAACGGCGGCAACGCGCCCGCCGTCCAGGCGAGGGTGGGATTCTACAACACGTACTGCCAGAGGTTTTCTGTCCGCCGCCGCATTGGAGAACCTTTTTCCGTTGTATTCTTTGTCCGCCGCCGTGCACTCTCTCTGGCGTCGTGGCCTCTCTCCGGCGCCGTGGTATCTTCCGTCTTTACCATCCCTCCCTCGCGCAAACAGAGAAGGGTTTTCTGGACCGTCGCCGCCGTCATTCCTTTCTGGCGAGGAGTTCCTGTTCGTTCCACTCCGACGGCGCACCGGCGACATTCATCTTAGCTCCTCCGGCGTACCCGTTTCATTTTAGCTCTTCCAGCATCCATTCCCGTTGTCGGTTGTGAGCTACTGATCTGAGGTCCGTCTCCCGCCAGAACTCTAATCTTCAATTTTAAACGTATCGTGGATTTGGTTTTGTTTACTTTGGTATTCTTCTTGTTTTTGTATTGTTTTTGGTAGTGATTTAGTTTTTGGTAGTGATTTAGTTTCCGGTTGTTCGGATTGGTAGGTTCTAGTGCATTGGTAGTTTCCACCTGTCTGTGAAACCGTGATTTTTGATGTGGAATGGTAGTGTTATGTTTGGATTGGTAGTTTTTTTGCTGTTTTGAATTGTAGTGTTATGCTCGAATGGTATTCTTTATTGCTGTTTTCTTTCATGCATTGGTAGTTTTCTGCATTGATGTGGATTGGTAGTCTTCATTTGGATTGGTAGTTTTTTACTATTTTCATTCCTGCATTGGTAGTTTTCTGCATACATGTGAAACCATGCTTTTTGATGTGGATTGGTACTATTCTGTTCGAATGGTAGTTTTTTAGTTTTTTGAATGGTAGTTTCCTTTCATGCATTGGTAGTTTTCTCCATACATGTGAATCTGGTAGTTTGATGTGGATTGGTAGTCTTCATTTGGATTGGTAGTTTTATTACTGTTTTGAATTGTTGTGTCATGTTGGATTGGTATCTTCATTTGGATTGGTAGTTTTTTACTGTTTTCATTCATGCATTGGTAGTTTTCTGCATACATGTGAAACCGTGCATTTTGATGTGGATTGGTACTGTTCTGTTCGAATGGTAGTTTTTTAGTTTTTTTGAATGGTGGTTTCCTTTCATGCATTGGTAGTTTTCTCCATACATGTGAATCTGGTGTTTGATGTGGATTGGTAGTCTTCATTTGGATTGGTAGTTTTTTCCCATGCAACGTTTGTGATGCTTGATTAATGTTAAACGACTTACCTCCCATTTTCCCAATTTTAGGAATGGCAAGAACCAAGAACCCCAGTCGTAGGGGCTCAAAACACAATGAACCTGTTACCTACAGCAGTCGTCAGGTTCAAGTTGGAAGTGGGCAACCCTCTGCCCTTGATGAAGCTGTGCCGCAGAAGGATATGGGTAAATCTAAACCACCTGGGAAGAAGTGCAGCCCCGCATCGATTATATCAATTGTCGAGAATGGTATAACAAATGCAAGGATAGAACTAATAAAGAAGCTCGGATTGGATTTTGTTTTCCATTTGAAGATGAAAAGGTTTGACAGCGAGCTGCTTATCTGGTTGGTTGACCATTTCAATGGGGACAGCATGCCGATTCAACTTTACATCCAAACCGAGTCTCGCCCTCTTCCTCTTCTTATTAGGTTCTGTGTCTACCACAACACCGACATTCTTTGGATCCAGCGTGCTCCCTGTTTTGAACCCTTCTTTGTTGCACCGTGCTCCAAAGTAAAACACCTTCCGTTCCTTAAGATATTTGGGTTTTCGAGTCTGTTCTCCAATACGTTTTACTCCAAAATCCCTCCAGTGTGCGAAGTCTTTATAGAACTTGACAAATGCTTCCCTATTTTCAAATCTCAAATGCTGCCATGTCGATTTGTCGGCCGGGACAACTTTATACACCTGATCTGCAATTTGTAAAATAACAATTAATCACTACCATTCCAATAGCTCATACTACAACTAACAAAGCACTACCATTGTAGTAGCTAATACAAAAGTCAGAACCAATACCAATCCAATCAAACGAATACCAATGTGATACGAACTACCAATAACAATCCAACCTATACCAATGTAAGGACTACCATTATTCCTAAACAAGTACGTAACAATACCAATCCGAAACATGTATGCAGAAAACTACCACTGCATGAAAGGACTACCACTGCATGGAAAACTTCACCTTCACCTCCGTCAGAATTGTCACAATCGTCCCCTACAAAGCCTTCTTCCACAGATTGATCTCCGACGATACCAGACCCTTTGCAAGGATTTCCGACCAAAAGGGATGTTAACTTTTTGCCGTTCAAGCAAAAGCATACAATCATGAATGGGTTACATACTTACCGTCGTCGCTTTGGATCGCCATATCGTCTTCCTCGCCACCAGAAATAGGACTTTCTCCGAACAACACTTCCATTGCTAGCCTTCTACGCTCTACCACATCCGACGATGATGCAACGTCGGCGGTCGCCATTGATGCAACGTCGGCGATGATGCAACATCGGCAAAAAAAGTGGACTTGGCAGTGTACACGGCGGCAGAAATAGGGCCGGCCAAAAAACGTGGCCTTTGAAAAGCCCTACTCTGATTAAACTACCTAATAATTAATTACGTAATTATCTCTTCCTAATTAATTGCGTAATTAAAATGGTAGTTTGAATTAAGATGGAAGCAAAATACCCTTCTTATCCCTAGTAACCACCGTGGTTACTATCAGTAAGTATCCACCATAACTGCTCCCTTATAAGGTCTCATATGCCTGAATAGTTAATCATTCAGCTAATTTAGTTTTAATATGACCAAATGATTAATAATTCAACTTTCATAATAGTTTTAATTGATTATCCTGTTTTGCTTTTCTAATTATAAGGTCTCATATGCCTGAATAGTTATCATTAAGCTAATTCAGTTTTAATATGACCGCAGTAGATTTTTCAGTGTACTTTTAATTGATTATCCTGATTTTCTTTCCTAATTATAAGGTCTCATATGCCTGAATAGTTAATCATTCAGCTAATTCAGTTTTAAAATGACCGCAGTAGATTTTTCAGTGTACTTTTAATTGATTATCCTGTTTTCCTTTCCTAATTATAAGGTTTCATATGCCTGAATAGTTAATCATTCAGCTAATTTAGTTTTAATATGACCAAATAATTAATAATTCAACTTTCATAATAGTTTTAATTGATTATCCTGTTTTGTTTTCCTAATTATAAGGTCTCATATGCCTGAATAGTTAATCATTCAGCTAATTCAGTTTTAATATGACCGAATAATTAATAATTCAACTTTCATAGTATGGTTTATTAAGTTCTTTAATTTCAAATTAAATATATGTTTTTAGAATTTTTTCCATTTTCAATTTTAAATGGCTACACAATTAGTCGTTTTGACATTCATAAGTTATTCAACTTGTATATATGTTTTCGTAAGTCCTTTAATCTAAAATTACATCACTTAAATTCTTCAATTTGAAAATTCTAAATGATACTACACAATTAGTCGTTTTGACATTCATAAGTTATTCAACTTGTATATATGTTTTCTTAAGTCCTTTAATATAAAATTAGATCAATTAATAATGAAAATTTTAAATTATTCATTGTGGTAAAGAATGAATAAATAAAATTATTTTTGAATTACTCATATTACCATACATTCAATCTCAATTATGAAAATATGGTGTATTACATAACATTGAAATGGATTATTAATTATTTTATTTTGTGAACGGCTATTTGCCGCCAATCAAATTGCTATTTGCCGCCAACTAAAAAAAAAAAAAAGGAATTCAAAATTTGAATTTTCTCTTCCTTCCCAGTGCCTCCGTCGCCGGTAAAAAAAAAAAAATTAATTTTGAATTTTCCCTTCCTTCCCAGTGCCTCCGTCGCCGGAACCGTTCTTCCGTCGTCGGCTAACCTCCCGTCGCCCTCAATCGTCGGAAAACAAGTAAGTTTACTTTTTCCGGCCAGTTTTCCAGTTTTCCGGTAAGTTTTCCAGTTTTCCGTCAAAAAACACGGCGGGCCGAAAAAAATTGCCGCCCGAACGTCGCCGAGCCGAAAAAAATTTGTGGCCGGGACGACGGCCGGCCGAAAAATTCTTTCGGCCCGGCGACGCCACGGCCGCAAATTTTTTTCGGCCGGTCGCCGAACATGCCGGCCAAAAATTTTCCGGCGACGTGTTCGTCGGCCGGCCGAAAAAAATTTGCGGCCGGAGCGACGTCGGGCCGAAAGAATTTTTTTCGGCCGGTCGCCGAACACGCCGGCCAACCGACGATTGACTTGCCTCGCGCCCGATCTTCGTCCAATCGACCCCGAACTCGCTAGAAATCCATAATGAAATTCATAAGTTCATAATGACACTAGGGTCATTAAAAATACAACTAGAAAAACAACAACATATAAATAGACCATTGCAACACGACACACGATTTACGTGGTTCACTAACACGAAGTATTTATAGTACTTCTCCATGTGGGTCTAAACCTAATCCAATATGACACGATTTACGTGGTTCACTAACACGAAGTATTTATAGTACTTCTCCATGTGGGTCTAAACCCCCGATTACCAGTCGTAGCGGCTGATAGTCCGATTCAAGTCACATCAACAAAGGGTTTAGGGTTCAGGGTTCACTTAGGGTTTAGGGTTTGAAACACATGGTTCGTGTAGCACTTTGCCCACATTGTCTGATGGTTAGTGATGATTCATGGATGCGTGTACGCATTATATGTCGAGGATAGGCTTTCCCGATGATTTTCCGGCGAGCGTTGAATTTTTCTGATTCAATACGTTCTCTGAAAGTTGGATATGTTGTAGATTGTGAAACTCCTTAACCAAAGATGTATATATATACATTTTTTTTCATCGATGATTTTCCGGCGACTTTTCCGGCGACTTTTCCGGCGAGCGTTGAATTTTTCTGATTAAATACGTTCTCTGAAAGTTGGATATGTTGTAGCTTGTGAAACTCCTTAACCAAAGATGCATATATATACTTTTTTTTTTTGGTTGGCGGCAAATAGCAATTTGGTTAGCGGCAAATAGCAAGCCCCTTTATTTTTCAATACCTATTGAATCTACTATGGCATAATTTGTTTTGTTTAGATGTTATTTTGAATGACTCTAATCATCCAAATAATATGTGTTTATATTGAAAAATTATTTCTTTTATTGTTTTGCTTAATTGTTTTTTGCTTTTTCGTAACAAAAAAACAATACCGGCCCCCCGAACATGGAAGGAAGGAAGGATTCCATTTTAGTAGAGATTGTGGCATCCCTAGCATGCATGCTGTAAAATAATCCGATTCCATTTTAGAAGCTAGGAATTAGTCTATCCAACTTAATTAGCTCTACCCTATAGCTACACGGTTTTAGAAATAACTACTAATCCCAAAAAGGAAAAGGTCATTATCCTCCCCTATAAGTACTAACATGACCGATCAGTCTCCCAAAACCATCCACACAACTTGCTTCGTAGAGAGTAACTACTACGTACACATCGATCTTTGCTCGTGTGTTTGATTATTTGTACAGCACGAGATGAAGAGTCGTGGCCATGGATTGCCTTGCGGGATGCTTTTGCTCATGGTCATGATGTTTGTGCCGACAATGGACGCTGCAGTTTCGTCGTCTCTCAGAATGGGCTTCTATAGACGATCTTGCCCAGCCGCCGAATCCATTGTCACAAGAACTGTGAGAAGGGCGGTGTCTCAAAATCCTGGCATCGGTGCCGGGCTCATTAGGCTGCACTTCCACGACTGCTTCGTTCGGGGTTGTGATGGTTCGGTGCTGCTGAAATCCCTCCCCGGCGGCCCCAAAGCGGAGAGAGACCACCCGGCCAACAATCCCGGGTTGAGAGGGTTCAACGTCATCTCCAAAGCCAAAAGAAGAATCGAGCGCATCTGCCCCAACACAGTCTCGTGCGCCGACATCCTCGCTTTCGCCGCCAGGGACAGCTCCCAGATACTCGGACGCATCAACTACCCTGTCCCCGCTGGCCGCCGCGACGGCATCGTCTCCAGCTTCAACGAGGTCACCCCAAACCTCCCTTCCCCGAGACTCACGGCCGACCAGCTGATTCAAAACTTCGCCAGGAAAGGGTTGTCGGCGGACGAGATGGTCACGCTCTCCGGTGCGCATTCCATCGGCAGGTCCCGCTGCTCGTCGTTCTCTGACCGGCTCTACAACTTCAACGGAACGCGTGCTCAAGACCCGACCCTCGACCGGAACTACGCGGCCACTCTGAAGGCCACGTGTCCAGCGAACGGCGGCAGTGATCCGACGGTGGCGATGGACCCGGCGACGCCCAATCGGCTGGACAATACTTACTACGCGGAGCTGAGAGCGGGGCGGGGATTGCTGACGACGGACCAGACGTTGGCGGAGAGTCCGGCGACGAGAGGGTACGTGGATGTGAACGCCAGGTACGGTGTGGCGTGGGCTGGCAAGTTCGGTAGGGCGATGGTGAGGATGGGTTCCATTGATGTTCTTACTGGGAATCAGGGCGAGATTAGGAGGCGGTGCAGCATGGTCAACTGACGGACACCGGAGCTAGGTAGCTAGCTTAGCTAGTTAGTCACTTTTGTTTGTTTATTTCTCATTGTTCAGCTAATTCAGTACTATACTTCGTAATGTAATTGTCAATATTCTTTATCCAGAATTAATGTTTGATTGATGAGTAGCTTTTAATTTATCATTCTTCTTGGCATGGTATTGTGTTAATTGTTCATTTTTAGCATTTGAAGCATCAAACCGTACGTACAAGTAATTTTTCCCCGCGAGTGAATCATTTTACGTTTAGAAAATAGGGTTAATAAATTTCGTTAAAAATATATGTAAGTTTAAAATTCTCGGGGGCTCACCTAGCTCCGCCCTTGACAATCATTATGTGTAACGACTATCACTAATATTAATTAATAGAATGAAACCAATCGCAATCTGCATACCCATAATCAGTAAATCATAATCTCAAGTACATTCTATAATGCATACTTTTATTAACTAGCTGACATGAGAGCTTTAATATTTGGATGATTAACAAGGTTGCAATAAAAATGATTGAGATGATATTTGAAGAGAGTCCCATTCCGTCCAAAACATCTTTAGAAGCATTGCTTCTCCATCTTCATTTTTATCATAGAAAAACAATTATTACGTAGTACAAAAAAAAAGCAATTATTATGCAGTAATCTCAATAAACATATGTCACAAATGGACTCGTCCACTTATTGGATCAAAGAAGTCGTTGGACAACTGGAGAGGGACCGTTGACAAAGACCGATGAAAACCTCAGCCGTGGATCCACCGGAGGCGGCTCTTACGCCAGCCGTCGATCCACGAGGAAGATAATAATAGCAAACAAACAAAATAAAATAAAAAAAGGGTCTCGTGGCGCGTATTTTCGCTTCCCCTTCCTCGCATCTACTCAGAAGCTCTTCAATTCCGTCATTTTCTTTCAACTTCAACAGCAAAAGTCAAATAACTGAGCCTTTCTTTCTTCCCCCATTTCATTCCTGTTTATATAAAATCAATCTCTGGTATCTCCCCTTCAACAACTGAATTATTCCTTTAACTAATCCCATTCGAAAAATCTAAGCAGCTCCCGCACTACAAAGACAGCTCAGAGGGGGAGAAGGGAGGAGCAGAACAACAAGAAGAAGAAACATGGCAGGTTACCCGCACAGCAACGGCGGCGGCGGCGGTGGAGGTCAGTACCCAGAATTTCCGGCGGTTCCCACTCACGGCGGTCAGTTTGTTCAGTACGACGTATTTGGGAATCAGTTCGAGATCACCCCCAAGTATCGCCCTCCGATCATGCCCATTGGCCGCGGCGCCTACGGCATCGTCTGGTACTTTGAAATCTCCATCTCTCTCTCTAATTGGAAAAAAAATATGGATCTTCGTATTGGAGTTTTGCTCCCCTTTGATTGTGGGTTTTGATTTGCGGATTTGGGGATTTTGTGATGTGAAGCTCGGTGTTGAATTCGGAGACGAACGAGATGGTGGCGATGAAGAAGATAGCTAATGCTTTTGACAATCACATGGACGCCAAGCGCACCCTCCGCGAGATTAAGCTGATGCGCCACTTGGATCACGAAAACGTCGGTGATCTCATCTCATCTCGCTTCCGTTTCTGATTGAGTTTTGACTTTTTTGGGTTTGGAGGGATTTGGCCAGATTGTGATGGGTCGATTTCATAACAGGTGATAGGAATCAGAGATGTGGTTCCACCGCCGTTGAGGAGGGAGTTTAATGATGTCTACATAGCAACTGAGCTCATGGACACCGATTTGCACCAGATCATACGATCCAATCAGGGTTTGTCCGAGGAGCATTGTCAGGTAAAGCTGCCATTCTTCCTTTTTCGTCTGACGGGTTGGTTGTTTGTTTCCTTTTGAATTGTGGGATTGATGTTTTGGATTGTGGTCTTCTTGGATTGTTGCAGTATTTCCTGTATCAGTTACTCCGGGGATTGAAGTACATACACTCTGCCAATGTGATCCATAGAGATCTGAAGCCCAGCAATCTTCTTTTGAATGCAAATTGTGACCTAAAGATCTGTGATTTCGGCCTGGCGCGCCCTACTTCCGAGAACGAGTTCATGACCGAGTATGTTGTTACGAGATGGTACAGGGCGCCTGAGCTGTTGCTCAACAGTCAGGATTACACTGCAGCAATTGATGTCTGGTCGGTGGGCTGCATTTTCATGGAGCTTATGAACAGAAAGCCCTTGTTTCCTGGCAAAGATCATGTCCATCAGATGCGATTGTTGACAGAGGTAATAAACATGTTGGTGTCTTAGAAGCTAAAGAGGGGAAATTTCTGGAATTGGAAAGATGATTATTTTGGGGGATTGACTGTTTGTTTGATCAAAATCTTATTATCTAATGTGGTTTCATGTTGTCTTCCCTCCCTGCAGCTACTGGGCACACCAAGTGAATCTGAGCTGGGGTTTGTGAGGAATGAAGATGCTAGGAAATATATCCGGCAGCTCAGCCCGCATCCTCGACAGCCATTGGCCAAACTTTTCCCTCATGTTCATCCTTTGGCCATGGATCTTGTGGACAAAATGCTGACATTTGATCCTACAAGAAGAATTACTGGTAAGTTCGGGTTCTGATATAGACATTTGATCCAAAACTTTAAACTGTCTGATAATTTGAACATTACCACTACTTGCTAACATTGTACCTGTTTTCGTGGCAGTTGAGGAAGCATTAGCACACCCATATCTTGAACGATTGCACGATATAGCAGATGAACCAGTCTGTACGGAGTCTTTCTCCTTCGATTTCGAGCAACAACCTTTGGTTGAAGAACAGATGAAGGAGATGATTTACAGGGAGGCATTAGAATTTAATCCAGAATATGCATAGAAGTGCAAAGAAGAGTAATGTTAGTTCTGCTTGATAGCCTATATCATTTCTGTTATTTCTTCTTCCATTGGAAATTGCTCCTGCAAATCCTCATTTTCACTGAGAAAAGAGAAGAGCAACCACATTAAACCGAGCAAAATTACAACAGGTGGTGGTGAAAGAACCAACCCCAAATGCTGCACTCTCTTCATGCTGCAACTACCTGGTCAGGAGATTACACCTTGTAAGATCTACCCTGATGGACTCCTCCCCTCTGCCATTACTGTAAAACCTGTACCAAATGTAACAATCAAGCACCTGAACTTTCCTGTTGTAAGATGTGTGACATTAATTAATTGTTTTTTTCCCATCCAGTATGTAATATTGTAATTCTTCTTTGGGAACCTTACACGTTATGTAACTGAATAAATCTCAAGTTAGTTAATAGTTACGAGGTTATTTGAGTTTATCTTTTCAGCATGCTAACAAAATCTCTATTCAGAGCTGTTGTATGTTCACCCACATGACCTATTTTTCGCCGTGTACAATCTCGTTAATAACATCCATCATCAATCAGTCCCTATTAAGCTATTACTTGATTGAAAACTTCTCTTTCTTTTTTCCGGTTGAATAATTTAGTTATCATGTCGACAAAAGCAGCACCACTGGTTTGGCCGAGACAGTAAGTGCAGTAACTATTTGCAGCATGATGTGCAAAAGCAAATCCACTCATACCTCCATAGACATTGTATCCTATGAATTCCATCACACCACGAGAATTGGACTGCCACCAAGGTTGGTGTCAAGAGGCAATAATCAAAGCTTCATTGTCTAGTTCAAGACACTTGACAGAATCTCATCATTTCAGTTTTGCTGTGTGTTGCTGTAAACCACCAATGAGCCCATCTGGTGGCAGTCGTATTCATCATCGTGTTCTCGAAACAGTAGGATTGGTGATGCTGACAGACTACTGCAACTGTTATTCTAGATCATGATTCCGAACCTCGCCAGCCAGGCTACCAATCCAATTCAGCACCAACTGTCTGTGTCTTCATTATTTGGCACCACCAATTCGAATGAAAGGTACCAGAAGAAGCCACTGTCTGTGATGCTGCTTCATCGATGAGAGAACAAACTAAAACCACATGACACCATCGACTCGAATGGTTGTCACGCACCAAACAAGAACACCTTGAAAATGTGGCAAATTTGCAGGATCTTCTGCATTTGTCGTTTGCGCTTGGGAGAAGGAACTGGGAGAATAATAAAATGCTAAGTGCTGTCCATTTTGCTCTAATAAAATCCCCCAATTGATTTCTTGTTGGGGCTTTAAAGTTGTTGATCTTAATCCTACACTCTAACCACAAGTTTCCTTGACCTCTTAATTTTTACAAAGAGGAACAAAAGCACAAACAGTCTTCCAATATAATTATTGTCGTAGTAGATGCTTTTACTATCTTTGAGATTTTAATATAAAATTAATAAAATGATTAAAATTTGCTGACTTTGCTACTATAGATTGGTCTAAACTTCAAGTAAAAATTACCGAGACTTAACAGTTAACATGAATCTCGATCTTTACTTGAAGTCGTACTTAAAATTGAAAGTTTTTAAAAAAAATCTTAGCATCAGCGGCGGATCCAGAACACAAAAGAGCACTGGGCGAGTTTCATTAGAAAATTGAATAGTAAAGAAACATAATGATTATAGTTTTTTCCAATGTAAATTGTACACGACGGTATTTTAATTTAGTGATGCATCAATAATGGAGCTTACATCCATACCAATAGTATACACTGTTTCAAATAAAATACTTGAGCAATCGGCAAGAAATTCATCGCTCATTTTGTTGAGCAAATCAGTTCTCACATATTTCATTGTTGAAAAGGTTCTTTTCGTAGTAGCTGTTGAAACGAGCAGCATTAACACTAGACAAATCAATCGACTAATCAATTGGCATTGTGTGTCAATCCCTGCATCCACCAACTGCTCTAGTAAGTTTTCAAAGGAACAAACCTCATATTTCTTTTAATCTTTTACGTTTTAAACTTTTAGAATGTTAGGTTTCATTGTTTTTTTTATATGCATAATCTTTGGGGCTAAAATTTAAAGGCTAAATTTAGAGTAGTGATTTGAATATGGTCATCTGAATCATTTTTCTAGTTATACCCAATTTTATTATAAAATCACACTAAGCCAAATACCTAAAATTGAAAAATTCATAAGGACTATACTAACTACGGATCCAGAGGAGGGCTGGGCCGGGGCCCGGGGTGGCCACCCCCTGGATCCGCCACTGGTTAGCATGGTGGATCAAGCTGCTTATTGAGTAATAAGTAGTACAAGATTTACATTTGGGATAAAAATGATGCAAGAAGACCATCATATTTGCACTTTTGGGATCTGCTGAGGAACATATGGGGAGGACAAGAAAGCTATCTGCTACTGATTTCGCCGTCACCGCACCATTGCAGAGGGATGTTGAATGATTAGTTGCAGGGAAGTGTGTTTAAAGAGACAAAAGAATGAATGATTCAGCCAGATTGCTGAATTAATGGACCATCTCAATTCAGTGTGTTGGGTTAACCTGATGATTCCTCTTCATATCCAGTACGATCGGATGGCTTGTCACGTCCTCGTCGTCTAAGGTTCGCTCTTGTTAGTATATTTTGTACAGTCAAATGGTCCGATTTCCTGATTTTTCCTCTTCTTCACCTGCAAAACCGTAAACCCAACAGGTCGGGTTCAGACCACCAGCAGAGTAATCAATGTGTCGGACACGACACATTCCTGTTACATGATGAAAAGGAGACATACCGGGGACCAGGGACCTGGTTCAGGTTGAGTTTTTTCAGGAGGTGAATGTTGAACAGCGCCACTCTTCTTTGTCAAAATTTCCTGCCAGGAAGACAAAGTTCTCTGCACCGTTAGCGTCAGTAAGAAGTTTTTTTTTTTTTTTTTTTTTTTGTGGCTTAGGCAGCAAGCTGCCAAGAAGGGTTTACCTCTCCTGCAGCTTCGATCGCAGCTAACCATTCCTCGGAGAATGGTGCAGCATCTGGCGGGAGTTTGATTGCAGCAGGTGCATCAGCTTCCTTCTTCTTCTTCTTCTCATCCACAGTCTCGATGCTGCTGCAATAGCAGATGATGAATGATGTTAAATGCATTTAGCGAAGGTGTCATTAGATTAAGGCCCAGAAGAAGAAGAAGAGCTGGTTCAAGATTCTTTACCACGTCAGAGTATCCAACTCTATGTCAGGCTGGAATGCACTGTCATGAATATCAGGTCTTTTGTCCACCTCCAGAAAAGTGTCATCCTCCTCAGAGGATTCAACGTCCATATCCTGGACCATACTTTCACTTACACTGTCACTAGGATTTACTTGTGACGTTGGCTTTTCCTTTACGGTGCTACTAGAATCGCTGGTACTCGCTGCCTCTTGAATCTCATGATCGCTGTTTCTCAAAGGAGAGACAGATTTTGTAATTTGTTGGCTGACCTGATCGCCATGCATGCAGCAATTATCCTTTAGTCTAGCCAGAATGTTGTTCTCAGAGGACTGCTGAATGTCACTTGATCTCCGTGATTTGTCATCTACGAAAAGGCTCCCTGGGTTCTTAACCTCCTCTGGAATTGGATCTTTAAACTCTGGAGAGCCAACACTAGTATCCCAAGAAGCATCTCTATCATCAGCAGAACAAATGCCTCGGAGCAGCAAGCTGGGTCTTAAACACGAGTCACGAATATCCAAAGGGACTTCTTCTATTAAATTATCTGACTTTGACTGCTTGATATGGTCTTCGGATTCTTTATGCCCCTGAGAGGTGATCACATTGCTGATATAGACAAACGAACTGTCATCACAGTCCTGCACCTCTACATCCTCTTCCATAATCGTTTCCCCAATTGTTGCTGGTCTCATGGCATTCCATTGAGATTGACCACACTTGATGTTTTCTTCAGATCGTCCAGGAATTTGGAAGTTGGTGACATTGATGGTATTGACAAAAGAACCGCCATCACAGTCCTGCACCTCTGCATCTTCCATCTTTGTTTCCTCAATCAGATGCTGGTCCCGGGAAAATTCATTTCCAGGTGATACAGCTTCTGTTTGAGATTGATCAGATGAATTGTTTACATAGGATGCTTTATGCGTGATTACTTTGCTTATATCAGCAGAAGTAAGGCCATCGCATTCCAGAATCTCAGCATCTCCTTCAAGTGTTTCATCAATCATATGTTGGTCGCATGCAAATTCACCGTCTAGATTCATGACTTCTAATTGAGATTGACCATGCTTATCGTTTCTACTTTCACCAGTTGCGAAGTCATTAATAGTGCTGCCGTTATTGCACTCCCAGGAATTTCGGCATGTCTCCTGAGTTTGATTCTCCAGATCAGCTGCAAGAGAAAGATCATCTGTGAGCACCATAGCCGGGTTGTCTCTATAGCACGTGTAGTAATAAATAATCTCAGAAAGGTAAAGAGAAAGAAAGAAGAGCAGTAGATGATTACCTCTGTGATCATATGTTTTCTTAGCCTGCAAAAGAGTTGGCCTAGAAGCCTCAGTGCATGCTGTTACATCTTTGCTTTTATCAACATCTCCAGAAGCATCTTCAGCTTGCAAATCAGGGCTAACTAGGTTTGTCAAACGAGAATTGTCTAGTTGCATCTGACTGGGACTTTCACCATGTGAACAAGCATCAGGTAAACAAATTTCTCCTTTGCTGTCCAGAGACAGATTACTATCTGCAGGATGTGAAGGAACTGGAGCAAGCCTAGCTTTATCCATTTGTCCGTCAGCTTCACAGTTAATGATCTGTGGAAGTTCCAATTCTGTCATGCTGATATTAGTATCATCACATTGACTAGCATCAGGTAAACAAAATTCTCCCTTGCTATCCAGAGACAGATTACTATCTGCAAGACGCGAAGGAACAGGAGAAAGCGCGGCTTTATCCATTTGTCCGTCAGCTTCATAGTTAATGATCAGTGGAAGTTCCGCTTCTGACATGCTGATATTAATATCATCGCATTGACTAGCTTCTAATGGCTGCATGCCTGCATCTTCCCCAGGATATTTCGTCACATTAGCATTAACTCCATTCGGAACATTTGTGCCTGCATCTAGAATGAGCGGGATGTCATAATCTTCAGGACTTGATTCAACTTTCAGACTCGCATCGTCAGTTGAGGAAGAGGTTTTCCCCTCAGCTAAAGCAACATCATTCACCCACATCCTTTGGCTCTCTGCAGTATAATTTCCTTCAGCTGTGTCATTACTACATTGATCCACCTGGCCACTATGAATATTACTAACTGTATCCTCCATTAAAATGCTGTAATCTCCACCTTCATCATTATTTTTTAGCTGTAATAGCCCATTTTCCTTAGACTTCTTGTTACCATCAGGAATGGTACTTAGCTGGTCTTTACGCATATCGCTGCTTTCCACTGCATCCTCAACATACTGATACCCCAAACTGGCACTACCAGCCCTTCCAGATACACTACTACCTTCCGCACCTTCAACATGCTGGTTACTGCTCATGCTTGTTTTTGCTGCAAGAGTTCCAATATCCACTTTTGTAACGATGCTGGGATTTTCTTGGAGAAACAAAGAGGAATTGTTTCCTGATCCAATATCCTCAGTGGGAGAAATGTTTTCAATAGCATGAGACTTCACACAAACTTGAGACTGCAGATTAGCAATAACATTCGCGTTGTGTGACAACTGTTGGCAATCTACTGTATCACAACTCTTAGCTTTATGAAGAGCCTGCGTTTGCTTGTTTAGTTCATCATTCCTGTTCGAGTTGAATTTAATTTGCACAGGTGAAGCACCATACACAGAACTTGCATGTACTGCTCTCTCTTTTGGAGGTAGTGGGGGCTTCTGATGAGATGGGGTGCCAGATAGAGGAAGATTTCCCAGTTCAGAGTCCTGTGAACCCGAAGGTTTTGACTGCAAAGTAACTGAAATGAGTCAACAGAAGCGGAGTCGAAAGAAGGCACTTTATGCTGAAACTGAATAATTTTCGGAGTTGGTTCCACTGAACGAACCTGCTCAAAGTATCTCAGAGATGGGGAAGGCTTCCGCAATCCAGATGGTTTTGCTGGTTGGCTCTGCGCCGTTTTAGTGTCATTTACATTGTAATTACCATTTTGAGAGACAGAAACTGCATGCTTCATTGCACATCCATCACTACTGCTTACTGGACAAGCAACAGCAGCATTTTGGAGTACAGGTGAGTCATCAGCTGCTTTGCTAGGCTTAGGGAGTTCTCTATTGGCCGATGAATGCTTTTCTGGAACTGATTTGACCTTCACGTAAAACAAAGTAAGAAATCAAATCAATATACACAGGAAGCAAGAGTGAACTTAGCATGTATAATCCTAATACAGTTCAAAATAAACTTCTGAAATGTTCATCATCAAATGATTGTTACATATAACAAGCTGCAGGAATCAGGGGTTTAGGTTAGATCCTCACCACATTTCGTCCGGCTAGCTGAACAGTAGGTCTTGCACTCGGTTTTCCTGAATGAGCAGGTTTTATGTCATTTCGAGATATTTTAGAACTTCCACAGCTGCTCTTCGGTTGCATAGTTTTTGGGGCTTGAACTGCTGCATAATAGAAACAGAAAAATATCAATGTCTTTAAAAACAGAAATGAAGCCTACCCTATGGTAATAGTGACTAGAAATATCGGTGTCTTTAAAATCAGAAATGAAGCCTACCCTATGGAAATAGTGACTAGACATATTCAAAAGTATTGGAATATGCAGTTTCTGAAAACCAAAGTAGACGCGTAGATACTATGTCAGGTAAGATAACCTGGTTGTGAGACATGACTATGCTTTGAATTTCTTGCACTCGATACAGAACTTCTAGATGACGCAGTAGATAATGGCAGATTTGCCTTTGGCGCTGATACTTTCGACACTTTGGGGTCTCTATTGGCAACTCTTGACATGTTCGGTTGTAAAGGCCTTTTCAGAGTACAAAGAAGTCAAGGCCAACTTTCACTAGGATAAAAGCTTGAGAAGAAGGAAGTCAAACGTATTAATTGTGTTATATAGCAACAAGTGTAAAAGGATATGAAGATGAAGCGACTGGGCGCGGACAGCCACTGTATTTAGAGGCACTTTTGGTAGTACCACAAGTTGAAGGACTCTTATTAGCATCACGGGCTGAGATAGCCTTCGGCTTGACCTGGAACATGTCAAAGATAATTCTATTTAGACACAGAAAATGCAACGGCACAAGATATCAAAACCTGGTTTTCAGAGTTAAAGCAAAGTATCATTTCACGCCACTCACAGGAGAGCTTAGAGGAGAAGCCTGGCTTCTAGTGGAAGGCCTAGCCTTCAGCGATGATCCGCCCTCCATTTTCCTGCTCTTAAGAGAACTCGCAGGCGATTTCTTGATGGATTTATCTCCAACTGAATGTGAGTTTCTGGATTCAGAGATACTTTCCAATCTCTGGGACACCAACTCTACCTCTTCATGAATCATCGACAACCTGTCCCTACTACCAGAACCAACATTGCCACTAAGCATAGACAGCTCCACTGGATCCAAGACACCTAAACATCAAAAGCTAGGTTACCTACTGATGAGTTCGGCAAGTTCAAATTTCCAAAGAAAAAAACCATTTCGAAAAAAGAAAGGCTCAAACGAATAATAAGAAGGGAAAGAGAACCTTCTTCGGTGAAGAAAGCTCGATCCCAAGCTAAGCTTTTTCTCAAATTGTATCCTCCTCCCTTCTTCTTCCTCTTCATTTGCTGGCGCTCGACACCCAGCTTGGGTGCTTCAGAACTATTCATTTCGGCATTTTCCTTGTCGATTCCAACTTGCGCAGTCGAAGGGCTAATGGCATCTGCATCTCCAACCTCCTTAGCACAATCTACAATGTAATGCAAACAATCTTCAGAATCCAAACATGATTCCATTCCCTAAAATATCAACCTTCCTAATAATTGAAACCAAATCAATTAGCGGACAAATTCAACTACTGCAAAATTTGTAAGAAGGAGCAAGAAAGAAAGAGACGAAATCAGTAGCCCTAACCAAGTGCCGAGCGAATTGGAGGGAGGGGAAGAGGAGGACGGGCACAGGAGCGGTTGGATCTAGGGATTTGGACAAGAGGAGAGCAGGAGAAGGCGGCGATGCTGCTGTTGGAGCTGGAGAAAACTTGAGGGCTGCTGGGGACTTGTTCCAGACTGAGCAGGGAGTCGTCTTCTGCTGAAATCTCAATCAGATCATCCGTCTCCATTGATGGCCGCTCCAATGCCGAAAGCTTCTTAGTTCTTGCGCAGAGGAGGAACAGAATGGGATCTCTAGTTCGACTGGTGAGTGGGAGATTCCTCTGATGAGGCTGTGAAAGAAAACGTTTGAATTGGAAAGAGATCGACAAAAGCGGGAAGTGTTTGTAAATCTGAGAAAGTGACAAACGGTCACGTTCGAATTTACAGGTCCCCCTATCCTTCCTCGGTTGTCGCCGTTTAAACAAAAAGAAGGGCCTGAAGTAACAGGCCTGGAACTGGAAGGTTACGATCTTAGTTGGACAGGCCCATTAACGCTATTCGAAATAGTAGAGTAGGTACTAGCGGTCGCCCAGTCATGATATGAATTGATAGGCTTGAGTTTTTTTTGGAATGGATAACTATTGATCGTTCTAAAAAATAACAAAGTTACACTTTTAACCTTTTGTCATCTTTAGTAAACAAACATCAATTTAACTAAAAAAAATGAAAAACACTCAATTTCCCACACTCTCGAATTCATCGTCGACATTCTCGAGTCATAATTGTTGGGAATACGTCCGAATCATGAGCAGCGACTCCGATGAGGTAAAAATCTGATTTTTTTCAAAAAAAACCCAAAACCCCTCAACCGAAGCCAATTTTCGGTTGTACCATGGCTCAACCTAAGGCAATTTTCGGTTGTACCATGGACCAACCGAAAATTGCCTTAGGTTGCACCATGGCTCAACCAAAGCCAATTTTCGGTTGGTCCATGGTACAACCGAAAATTGCCTTAGGTTGAGCCATGGTACAACCGAAAATTGGCTTCGTTGAGGGGTTCCGGAATTTTTTTTGGATTTTTTTGTTTTATATCAATAATTTTCTATTCTTTTACTACGATTTATGGTTCGGTCCATAAGATAATTTGTTGGATTTTGGTTTATATTTTTTTAGATTTATGGAAGGGGAGGGGTTGTTTGTTGTGTTTGATTTCGAAATTCAAAATGGGCAATTCGGTAAATTACATATTAAGTTAGGACGATGGTTAGTAATTTTTAGGACGACCTTTAACCATTCAGTTTTTTTTTCTATCATAACATTTTCTTTGACCGTTTTTCTATCATAACTTGGTGGGAGCTTTTATTAATTAGTGGGAGTGGTTACATTGTCGTGCTCTAGCTGATCAATAATAAAGATAGGAGGTCGTTCTTGAGAAATTTTACAATGCTATATAGTATTGGTGCTATAGGATTTTATCTTTATGGTATAACTTAAAATTGTACATTTACGTTATGGTACAACTTTAGATTGTACCTATACTGTTTGTACAAATTCTTTTATGGTACAACTTGAACTTGTACCTTTATGTGATGGTACAACTTCAAGTTGTAAAGTTGTACCATAACATAATGGTACAAATTGCTTTATGGTACAACCTAAACTTATACATTTAATGTAATGGTACAACTTTAAGTTGTACATTAAAGCACCAATACTATATAGCATAGTAGAAGGGCTCGTCGTTCTTTTGTTTTTTTGTGAAAGTGCGGCGCCAAGGGGCGCCCTATCCCATATTATTGATCATCCGAGGTTCTGAGACCCCAATCTTGGATTGCACTGATCTCATGTCATCCAATTTTGCATAAACGTTAGGCAATCATACTCTTAACACTGGGTTTGTAATTCCCAATCTGAAGCCCGAACTCTGCTGATAGACTTGAGCTTTTATTTCTCCAATTAGATCAGTGATAGGATAATTCAATTAATCGATCGTAAATAAGAAATTTAGTCAAACAAACAAGACCTAATAACACCACACAAACTGACAAAAGGATCTAATAAAAGGGCTTTCCTAAATACTCATTTTTAGTAGTTATTGAGATATTATGCAAGATAATTCAAGTCAAAATTAAAAGACCAACCATAAGTAAGAAATTAAGTCAAATTCCACCAAACAAATGAGACCTAATGAAAAGGTTTTCTAAATACTAAAATGAAAAATTATATAAGGAGAACATGCAAGTCAAATTACATAACGATGTCAAAACTAAGCAAATTATAAGGAACATAACAATTAATCATGTCAAGACTCACAACACTCTCTCTCAAACAAAGGCGTGAATGTCATAAATGTTAAGGTTCAAAGTGAAACCAAATTGCTCAGTCAAAGCTTTGATTAACAAATAGACTAATTGATCACTTATGTCGATTTTATGAGAAGCGAGACATTCTTGCACAAAATATGACAGTATGTCCTTGGTGCGCTCGTGGAAGACATGCTTAACAACAGTCAGAAAAACTATCTGGTTGTCACAGTGCAACGAAGTAGGCTCGTTGGTGGAGATCGCGAGCTCATACAGTAACCACCTCCGACAAACAAGCATACTAAATTTGCTTGTCATAGCCCTACAGAAAGCTTCGACTGAAGAATGAGCAACCAACTTGATAAAGTAACCAACGAATGATCGGGGTATCTGCTAACAGTCACCCCAACTAGCATCCCACCAAATAGTAAGATGCAAAACTGTAATGACCCAATGTCTATAAGGAGTTAATTGTAATATAGTATAGTGTGGGTATCAATTTGTAATTAGTATGTCATATAAATAGGGCTGTGTTGTAACGAGAAAGGTATCGAATAACAGAAATCAGTTTGTCAATCTTCTTCTTCCTATACTCTGCCTTCTCCCTTCTTCTCCTGCTTCTGTTCTCCCTCTTCTTCTCAATCTCTCTTCCTTCTCCTATAATTCTCCTTCTGATTCTCCAATTGAGATCTCCATTCCATTCCTTTGATCGATTAACTCGCTGAGAAGATCCAGTTCCGACTCCGACTGCTACAAATTGGTATCAGAGCCTCTTCTTGGCAAAATGACAACGATCATCACGACATTGGACGGTATGGCAGACCGACTGGAGCGCCGCTTCGATCGTTTGGACGAATTACTTGACTAAGTCTTCCTGCGTTTGCCGGAGCCGCGCCGACCTAGATTTGCGGCCGTGGTTTCCGTCGTCGGGGAGCAGTTACCTTACCACAATTATGCTCAGGCAGACCATCCGCCATCTGTTCGCCGCAATGCCGAGCTGAAGAGTTCTACAGTGACGACTCTTACCACCTCCATGTTTTCGCCTTCCGCCAATTCGGCTCACACCGCAGGCGCCATTCACCGTCACACTTACGGTAACTTTCCCTTTGCTGAATTCCCCTCCTTCAATGGCGATAATCCTAGAGTTTGGATTAGGAAGTGTGAGGACTTATTTGCTGAGTATGGAATTCCAGACAAAGAGAAGGTTAGAATAGCTGCGGATTATTTGGAATATCGTCCAGATATTTGGTTCGAAGGATGGAGGTATGGTCGTAGGGAATGGGTGTGGGAAGAATTTGCCGATGCCCTATGGAAGCGTTTTGGATGGGTCAATGCTGGTGGTTTTGCACTTGCTCCTTCACAGCATCATGATGATCACTCAATTGAGTTAGAGGTTACAGAAGCCTCTAAACTCTCTCATTATTGCCAGCTGCTGAATTTTCTACCCCTGAACCTGCAATCTCAGAGGAGGTAGAGGTTATCAAGGTTACTGGAAGTGGAAGTGAGCAGGTAGACCACAAGAATAACCTACAGTCACCAGAAGAAGCTGTGATAGTTCATATGGTATCCACTTCAAAGTCTAAACCTCTTCCTCGTCCAGCCTTTCTTGTTGGGGATAGACTGATGGTGACTGATGAATCTCAGGCAATGGATGTACTCACCACAAGCACTCAGTTTGGGAAAGTGGTATCGAAGCAAGCTTGGCCGAGTGATGCTAGTACAACCTTCCGGGTGGTTAAGAGACATCAGCAAAAGGCTAGTTGTTTGGTGTTTCCTGTGTCAAGGGGGTTGCAACATTATGACTTCCCTATTGAAGTGGCAGACACTTTTAACTTGAGAAGAGATTATGGGTATCAGATTTATCCCACCTACTATGGTGTTGGAGTTATTTCTCATGTCAGTGGTAGTGATCCTGATTTTTGTGAAGCATATAAAGCTGCTTTTCCGAACTCACAACTTACTACTGCAAATGCTCGGAATGGAACTATGGTGGCTCCACCATTCCCCTTCGTATTGACGGAAGATGGTGAAGATTTAAGTGCAGCAGACAATGTAAAACTTGAAGATCAAAAAGCTGCTTCTTTGCTTGGAATTGCAGACACCTATATTAAGTTGTTTGACCCGGGTGGAGCTGGGTTACCAAGTGATTTCATTGCTACTGGATCACCTCGCAAGCTGTACATCTCATGTGATTTTGAGGTTGACGACAACTACTGTTATGTCGTGGTATCTAAGGGCAGGGGTGATTGTCCCAATTTTAAAGGACCATATAAGGATATTCTTGCAAGCCAAGCTGTTCTCAGGGACAGTTTTAGTTGGGTGTCTATAGAAGCTTTGGATTTCAATGGCTGTAGTGGAAGTAATTTGAGGGTTGTTCAGCATTGTGATGTTGTGACGAGTGTCCTTTTGGTGTGCTGCGAAATGGTGGGCATGATGACTGATGGGAAGACTTGGTATAATGTTTCCAAGGTGGCTGCGGTAGTATTGAAGAAGGTGGTTGGAGTTCATGACTATGGTAGAGAACTCAATTCTCCTGTCAGGATTATGTGGCCTGAAGTATTCATTTGTGCTTTTGTTCAAGACTGCAGACTGGTTCAAAATGTTGGAGAGTTTGTTGCCACCGGTCCGGTAGTCTCTTGTTCTGGATTCAATAAAGGTTTTAACCGTGGAAAGGTGTCGATTATTGTAATCCTTGAAGGGCTGAGACTTACTACAAATGTTGCTATGAGAAGAGCTCCTTCGGTAGTGTATCAATTTCAGTTGTTTTCTGATCTTGCTTCTGAGTTCTATGTGCATGAAGTTCTTTCTCATGGAAGGGGATTGCCCGAGTTTAAAGAACCCAGCAAAGATGGAGTAGAGGACATCAACGATGAAGAAATTCTTGACCGGGAATCTGTAAGATCTTGGGGGTTGTATGGCAGCAGTAGTTCCAAGCCTCTCAAGGAGGATTGTGGGACTGTGATGATGTTGTTTGCTACTGGTAATGGTGGGTTGTCAGGTTAGGAGTGTTATGTGATTTTCTCGCACGGAAGGGGCATTGATCCTGACTTTAGAGAGCCATATAAGGAGCTTATCACTACTGGGGAAGGGATTATGGATTGGTGGTGATTCATGAAACCAATACAACTTGGTAGCCATCCAAACGCAAGAATCGACAGTTGCAGCTCATTTCCTTTTGTTTGTAGCATTTCATTGTTGGCTTGTTCATTGTTTTGATTGTTTCAGCCTTGAGGACAAGGCTATTCTCAAGGGGTTGGGAGTTGTAATGACCCAATGTCTATAAGGAGTTAATTGTAATATAGTATAGTGTGGGTATCAATTTGTAATTAGTATGTCATATAAATAGGGCTGTGTTGTAACGAGAAAGGTATCGCAAACCGAAATCAGTTTGTCAATCTTCTTCTTCCTATACTCTGCCTTCTCCCTTCTTCTCCTGCTTCTGTTCTCCCTCTTCTTCTCAATCTCTCTTCCTTCTCCTATAATTCTCCTTCTGATTCTCCAATTGAGATCTCCATTCCATTCCTTTGATCGATTAACTCGCTGAGAAGATCCAGTTCCGACTGCTACAAAAACATCGTCAAAAGGAAGAAGGGGAAAAAAAGCCCGTTGCCTGGGGCACCCTTCAAGTAGCAAAGAATGTGATAGGTCGACTCAACATGAACATGACACATGAATGAACAACTTAACTCGGGATGATGAGTGACATAGTCTATGTCTGTCGTGGTGGATGTGAGATAAAGAAGATGATCAATGAGATGCCAGAAAGAGGCGGGATCAGCCACAAGCCCACAACATGCCCTTTCTTTTGCATCACAACATCGACAGAGCCACTGTTTTGGAAGGTGCCGCCTGCTGCGGTCGATCAGGAGGACACGTTTGGCCACGGTGGTTTGTAGGTATTTGCTTGTTAGGGTTTGGGAATTGGAGGTAAGCCAATCGTTGGGGGGAGGAGGACCAAGTATTATTAGCACTGAGGAAAGACTAACAAGGAATAAAAGCATCTAAATTTGCAGTGCCAATATATCAAACAATGGTACTGAACTCATCCCAACTAGGTAGAAGTAAATATATGCATATTTGATTATATACAATGACACTTTGACAGCTATGCCTGCCAACAGTACATACCTCGAGCAAATGCAAAGCCCTCTTATTAACTAATGTTGCAATCCCTGGGATCTTCAGAAGAAGACCCTTCTTCTCCCTCTGAAAATGCCATAACATATGCATCTCTCCCTTCATTATCGTCATCATCACTGTCCTGGAAATCAGCACGGTCGAATCTGCTCTCAATATACGCCACTGCTTGATTCCTCTGCAGCCTCAAGATACGCATTATCACATCTGGAGATAGGTATACCCTGGAATGGTCTTCCCTCCCCTGCTTGTTCGACTCCATGATCTGTACCAAAGTACATGACAGGGCAAGTGCATAGACAAGATCGTCAATCAAGATAAGATTACGCACCTGGGATTAATGTATATGTTCACTTTTCAAGCGTGTAAAGGAAGGTTCGTTACCTTTTCTATATTGTCTGGTAGAGGAGGAGATTCTGAAGGAGAGGGGCACCAGAGCTTCACAGTCTTCTCTATCCCACAGCTTGCAAACATAGCCACATGAGGATGTGGCTCGATCTGGTTAACCACACGCCGATCGCCAAACATAACTCGCACAAGCCTCGCATCCTTCTTCTTCCAAATGAATATATGACCACAATCAGACCCTGTTGCCACATACTCGTCACTTGGCCCAAAGAAACTCACTCCTTTCACTGTCTGTGAATTCCTATGCCCCGTGTACACTTGTGGCTCTCCAAGCTTCTGCGTCTGTATGGGTGAAACCGAACATGGATCGGGGCCCATCCCCATATCCTTCTGAAACAGATAGATGAGTTCATCATTGTAAGAGACGAGAAGCTCACTTGAGCTTGAGTAGGCCAATGCAGTTATATGCACTTCATTGGACTTTATCAAGTGACGGGGGCAGAATGTGTCCAAAGGTGTGCCATCATCATTGCTCGACCACTGACATTTTCTTATGTCATATACACGAGCATATTCATCAGAACCTCCTACGCCAAAGTAATTTGGGTTTCTTGGATCGATAACAATCGAGTTTAACCTAATCTTTTTGGAATGCTGGGTGTCATTGTCTGCGAGGGAAGAGCAACAGAATAGTCTTGTGCAAGAATGAGTGCGGAGATCGAACTGCAAAAATTGAGAGAAAACCAAAAACCCACAATAAAGATGGAAAGAAGACTGCTAAAGAGATCATGAAGCATTTGGAACAACAAGTTATATGATGTAAAATTGACTGACATGTTGCACAATGCCATCTTCACCACAGCTATAGAGTACATGTGGACTTCCTGGCTCGACTGCAAGGTTATGCACACGCCCCTGGTGCTTCCCCAGCTTCTTTGTAAATACCTTGCCATGTTCTTTTACCTGGCCGAGCCGAACCTGTGACAGCCAAAATAATAGATTTATAGAACCATGATCAAGTTTCAACATTCACCGGGTGTGTTTGTCTTGCGTATTTGTTGTTGAGCTTAGCTATCTCAATCGTACGCTATTCAATGTGCGGCTCACTATTGATATGGATTTGCAAAAAGATATTGTCTTGTTCAGTGCATTTGTACCAGACAAGTGCTAAAAAGACATGTGGAACCCATGTTTCTAGAGGGAGGGCATTTTTAAAAACTTCTTACCCACTCAAGTGTTAGAGATGGTATCATTGATAGATTTGTATGGAATTTCAAATGTACTTTAATACATCGAAATTCTCTACCAAAAACGATCAATCGCATGATTTTGAAAATTCCACCTACGCAAATAATCCAATCAAATTACACCTCCTTCAGTAGTTTCGCAAAGCTTAAATGGATATTCAGCTGTTAAGTAGTGCAGCTCAATGCACCATCCATGCAAATGTAAGGCTCAACTATAATTCAAGACAAATGACCAGATGCAGTAGTGTACTTGTCTTTCAGAAATACATTCGAAAAGGGAATCACATTCATCTAAAGACACTATCTTAGAAGGCCACAAATGAAGCTAATCAGCTGAGAACGCACCTGGCCGTCAGCAGATGAAGTTACTATGATTCGATCATCAGTAAGAGGCATGATTTTAGTCTGGAATATATTGTCCAAATGACCAGAATCATATGACAACTTCTTCTTTTGGGTTGTCCAATCCCAGAAGACGACTTGCCTATCATCAGAACCAGACACCAGAATATCGCCAGTAGAGTTGAACTGAATAGCATTAACGCACCCATCGTGACCAGCCAACTTCCCTTGGAGGCTGATCTGCTTCACAAGGACCTGAGCAAGTAATAAAATGCAAAGTCTTGCTTCAAAACATGGAACAAAGAGCACAAAATAGAAGCAAAGCAACGATCACATCCATCAAATAATCCGGGTAACCCTCCATTGAATCACCAAAATAGACCGGCTTCAAGACTAATTTTTAACTAGTAGGAACACAGCCAGCGGCCGGAAACTGATGATTTTTCAAAGAGCAAGAACAGCTCCCCTGCTATTCACAAGTGACAAATTCATCCAAGCGGAAAGAAGCAATCTCTCCGATCCAAACCCAAATGAGGAATCAAGAAAACTGAAGTGTGGAAAACGCCAAAATCTGGACAGCGGAATCTTACTTCAGCACCGACGGGAATCAACCCAATTATGATCCACGATTCGTCAATCACAGTGTAAGAGAATGGAAATTCATAACACAATTAGGAGGTCGAGAGGTGGGGGGAAGGAACAAAAAGAGTCAGAAACCTCAGAACCGGAGAAGTATCGACGGAAGTACGTGGGGGAAGAGAAGCCAAGTTCTCGCCTGCGGATCTCGTCGAATCCCACTCTAATTCTCTTGCGAGGAGCGTCCACCTCCATTTCCATGACTGAACAGTTACAGGTGGTAGCTCAGCTCATTCAGGAAGTGTCTGCGAATTGGAGGAAGTAAGAAGAAATTACGAAAATGCTCTGTGCTTTCCTCTGGTGGAATTGTTGCGAGAAGCAGGAAAAAAAGAAAAGGAAACGGATGGCTTGGAATCCGAGAGCAGCTGACGAGGAAGAAAGGGACGTCAGAACTTAGAAGACGTGGATGGAATTGGAAGCACTGTGTGCAATGTGTATTGGTCAGCGTCATTGGAAGGTGAGAGACTGAGTAAAGAGCAATAGAATAGGCGAGAGGAGGAACTCCGGTACTCGGTCACACATGTGGCTCCCGCCATCTCCTCGACTCTTCCCCCAAAAAGCCTTCTCTTCGCAAAAGTGCACTTTCTAGGGTGTGTTTGTTTTGTAACTTTCAAAGAGGAAACTGTTTAGAAAAAAATTAACCAATCTTAACCCATAAAGATTGCAAGCCCTCCCATAGTTGCTCCAAGTTTCACCGGCAAATACAAGGCTGTCGCCATTGTTGCAGTTTGAACCCTCTCCTTGTCATGTCTAATCCTCCTGTTATCTGTGGTGACAATCTCAACCACCACTAATTCGAATTTGGTCTTTCACTCTCGTATATCACTTTCTTTGTGGTCCTTGAGGAATGAGGAGATTTTTGGAGTTCACCATGCCTATCTCATCTTCTCATTTCCTTAATTTACTTAATAAAAAACACCGTAAGCACATTTTGATGCTCTCACTTGTCGAATTCCGTTTCATGCAGTTTCGTTTTTTTGCCCGACCTGAAAATCTCTCTTCAAAGTTCTAAGCGTTCGCTTATGTCGCGGTACAGCACGAAAGGACACAAGCAGCAGTAGGTACTCTAAAGCGAACAGAAACGAAGACAGTAAGCCTAAGAGAAAACTGATTCTATTTGCCATCAACTCCATATTATAAAGGTTTACAGAACTCAAATAGGGCCAGAAAGAAGAGATGCTATCATATGATGTATACCGATGAGCATTACACCCTTACCTTTGGCAGATGATATAAAACGACGACCTGGAACAGATACCCACCAAAATTCCCACTCCACCTTCATCATCTTCTCAGAAGTTTGTAGAGCTGTGTTGTTTATCCAATGCTTACTATAGAAAATGTATTCTCCTGCCCTCTTTACATATATATTCATTATTCCCACATTCCCTCCCCTTATTTTCCTTTCTTTTTCCTCTCCTTTCTTCTCCCCCTCTTTTTCTCCACACACAAAATGAAGAGAAGACCAGAAAGAAAAAATGTAAACACACAAGGAGAACTATGGACTTAACAGCTAGAGTGTAAGAAGAAAACTCCTCCTATATACCAAGCTAACTCAAAGAAAACGAGTCGGCATTTTACATTTTTTTTCTAAGTTAAACCTGCAGCAACATCATAGTTGTCAGACCTGAGAAGAAAACTGTTACGATACTCCTCCGCTTGTGCCATGTGTGAGGGTTCCATTTGGAACCCTTGTTTCTAAACCCTTGGCAAAATTTTCAGCCTCCCTTTAGTTGAATCTTATCTTGTGTTGTCATCGGCAAAAGAAATAGAAGGGTGTACCCGAGTTATACGAGCTAATCTTCTTCCTCGGTTAAGGAGGCAAAGGAAAACGGTTTGAACTTGTAACCATCGCCGAAATAGAACTTGTTCTGATACTCTACCCAGTGGAGACGCAGCGCGTGCAGGAAAGCGCTGAGCGTCTCCATCATGAGCAGTATAAAACTGGTGGCAAATGCAAAAACCACAAGCCCCACCAATCGGATCACGATATTGTCATACCTGGAAACAACAAACAATGCAATGCCAACTTAGAGAACAGTCTGACAATTTTGAGCAGGAAAAATAGTCTGGTGTAACTATACTCACCCCCACGCCAAGAGCAAGACTTTTTCATAGAAAACTGTTGATAATTCAGAGTGGGCCAAGCTGCCATATCAAACATAACTGAGTCAGCAAACAATGATCTTTTTAAGTTTTTTCTTTAAAAGAAAACACGGGATTCCGGGAAAAGAAAAATCACTGATGCATGACCTCAGAGCCCAAAGACGAAGGTATGAAGCTGTATTGGAGACAGAACCAAGCACAAACTCTATCGAGTGTATCATTTGGTGCACAAACACCTCACTGAAATTGAAATCTTCATGATGTGCACCCCTTGCTGAACCGGGTTCTGAGTCGAGATCAACTTCAGAGGTACCAAGCATACCATAGGTACGGCCTTGAAATCTCTATATTGTATCACCAAGCAAAAACAGACCACAGTTAGTATTCATGCAGAAAAATAATCTGAGAAATCAATGGCAGTGTTTGTTTGAACTTAAAAGCTAAAACAAACATCTTTCTTTCATCTACCTTTCTAAAACAACGATTCACCTTGAATGCACAAATTATTAGCCCCGTCAGACAAAAAAAAGTCATTTCTAACTTTTCACCTTTGAAATACGAATATCTTGTTTGAACTTATACTCATTAGGCATTTTCCAAAATCCACTCTGATTAATGATTATTAAACAAAACATTTACGACTTCATCAATTAATTTTTTATTACTATATATATCTCACATCTCATTAACTCAATCTTTTCTACCGACCAAAAAACTCAATCTTTTCTAAACCCTTATCAAATCCACTCTTCCTACTTCCTATTAAAAAAATAGATAAATAAACACTGTTCCTACAACATAACAAAAATATCACTTCTTTTCTAACAATAGGTCAAAGAAACACCCCCACCCCCCCAGTGTCTTACCTCTGTGTGAAGTTTCTTCAAAATAAATGGTTTAGGAAACAGCATCCATGGAACTGCAACTAAAGCCAAAAGCAACAGCACAATCTGCAAAAGTCGAGAATCAATTGAACACAATGAACATTGAGACAGACAAGAACGACCCACCAGAAAAAATAAATCACGAAGTCGTGGTGATTACCTGAAGAGGCCTTTGGCCCCAGAACAACTCATTCTCACCAAGATCATCAGTGGGACTCAGAAACATGTATATCATGACATGATAAAGATCTGCCTGGGAACCAGTGCACCACTTGGTGATGATGAGAAGTGAAAGATACCCAAACAGGGAATTCAGGAAGATTATCTGCGGCACAAATTGATACCTAACCACAAACATTCCATAGTAAGTCTCATTCCGACAGCTCCTTTCATTTTCTGATATAATGCAGTAATTCCAAAAGATGATGTGTGAAGAGGACACACCTTATATCTAGTGAGCTCCCAAAAAAGCGTGCATTGAAATAACTCATTAAGATTCCAAGGTTCATTTGTGTGATACCCAATAAAATAGACATCTTCATCTTCAGAGAGTTCAAAAAGGGCAATTCTGAACGGCTTCCACGCCAACTAGGATCTACACCAAATGGGTAAGGATCTCGGAATTTAACCAACCCCACAGTATGGGCATCCCTGAGAAAAAATAAGCCGAGACATCAATGACAGCTAGGTAAAAAATATTCTTCAAATAATATATAGAACTAAGTGTACCTAAAAAGTCAGATGCAGGATACAATATAGTGTATGCACCTCAAGAGGGAGGCGAATCATGTGAGCATGTACTTTCAGAACAGTTAAAATATTATATAACTGCTACCCCATGATGATGAGCAACAAAAATTAATATAGAAAGGATATGAAAGTGCATACAAAATGCTTGAGTAAGCAACATAGATTTTGCAAAAAAATTGAAATTATTTGGAAGAAATACCAACAAACCGAAGAATTATACCTGCAGGAATCATCTCTGCATCTGTAAGCAGACCCACCAAATATGTGGAAAGGGACGGAGAAGAACTCATTGTAAATCAGCCCACAGTATATTGAGAAAAGAGACATTAAAAGGAGTACGTAGCGGCCACCAAAAAGCATCTCCATAAAGCTTCCAAGTTTCTACAAGAAGTCAGAGATAGGCAGCTTAGTTAATGCTATTAATTCAAGAGGCAAACTTTTTCCGGAGGTCAAAGATTAAGCATAGAGTAGCGGACAGAGTATATATCAATACAGGATATATTAACTACAAGTATTAACAAAAACAAATCTGGCAATGGAATAATAAAGTCAAGAAGTTTATATATTCCGGCAACCAAATATTGAACTAATCCAGTATAACCAAAAGATAATCCACTTTTATCCTATATCTTAACAGTATATAAATTCTCTCACCTGCTTTTCTGCTAGTATACTTAACATTTATGCATAAACATGGTTCCAAATTAGAAAAAAAATATTATGTCGCTCAAGAAAACCAACTCATGCTTAATTAACCACTGGTCAAGAAAGTTGGTGTCCCTTCTCTTACAACCATGATCAAGCACTTTGCAATACAGGTCAAAGAACTCAGAATCAACAACCAACATGACTGAAAGCAACTTACAAGCCTCCATAAAAGACATTTGTAAAACATTTAGCATAATTGGTCTTGAACTTCCAGTATCTGAGGGCAGTGTGAAATACCTGAGTACCCAACTTCTTCTCACGAGCAATAAGGAACAGTGCTCCCAAAAGCAAGCATATTCCGTGGCCCCAATCTCCAAACATCACCGCAAAGAGAAAAGGAAATGTAACTATAGTGTACACTGCTGGATTTGCTTCCTGATACCTAGCAACCCTGTTAACAGAAAAGTTCCAATTGAACAGCCAAGCCAACAAATTTACAATAAAATACTACCTAAATGTAAACAACTGAAGTTGCCATTTAAGTTTATTCACAAAGTAAAGCACAAAGTGATGCCAAGTTGCGACGGTCAAGATCTCAAGTAGACAGCACATTTTGGCCCAAAAAAACTGCTACTTTAAACTAGTGACTCTCGCAAAAACATGATCATTTCTACTTAAGACGCCTATAAAAACAAATGCATACAAGGTGCTTTCATGTTTCATCATTCCCAACTTACGGTTCAATCCCAGCATTATAAACCAATCAGAATCAATAAAAAAAAAGTTCCAAGAAAGAAACAGAATCGCAATATACATAAGTATCCATAACAGAATAGATTGCAGCATAAAGACTTACCCATATGCATCAACAATTTCCTGGTAGGCATTAGTGAAGCAATTGGTTCTGAAATAAGTAGGAGGTGACTCTGTAGCTTCCATTACATGAAATATTATGCCGACTTGAGAACTGCTATCATAAGTTGCTCGCTGCAGCACCTCTTGAATCTGATCAACAAAACAGTGTATTTCTCAAGCTTTTCGAAGACATATTCAAACATTATAAGAGCATAGAAAGTATAACCGACATAGTAACGAAATAGATATATTAAGTACTGTATAATACCTGAGGTTTTGCAAATATAGGACACCAACCCTCACCAACAAGACACTTTTTCGTCACATCAAAGTTAAGCATATTCAGGGTATCATACACAGCCTTCTCCATCCTCACCTAGGAAAAGGTAAATCACGCCAGATGATACCACAATCAGTATGTATCACAAGTATCTAAGAAACCAACAGAAATTGTTTACGGGTATCAATCCTACCATGTTAATCCACTTTGTTAGATGCAATCCAATGGAAACAAGGGCTTGATTTCTGTGGCGAATTCCAGCATCCAAAGTGGCTTCTAACTCAGAAAGACGTGATAAGACCTAGAACAAATGTGATCATTTTCAGTTAACAAGAAGTAAAAAAATGAATCAAGAGCCCTTGAGTACATTAAATCCCACAAATAGTTAAAGTTTTTTCATGGAACTAGGAGGAGGAGCAATGACAGATAACTTACTTCTCTAGTTAATTGCCTTTGCTTAGTTATATCCTCTGGAACAGGGTAGCAATTTGCCCCAAATGCTTCGCAAATTTTTATGATCTTCATTCTTGCCTGTTCACCTGAGAAAAATACTACAAATACTGTTTTCTCAACCTACAATGACAAGCTGGCAAATATCAGATCAGTGTGAAGATGCTTCAATAACTTAATTTACTATAGTTTAGAGTGGCACACATACGAGGAAGAGAACATAACAGCAAGAAGTTAAAATATGAAAATCCTGACAATGATCAATTATAGTTCCGAGGCAACACTACTAAATTTATGAAGCTATAAGGAAGGAAGGAAGAAAACCATTTCATTGGAAGTAGGATCCAAGATTTCCTCATCTGCCAGAGTTTGATTGAAGAGCATATTTCCCCTAGTAGCACGGAATAACATCCTCTCAAATCTTAAGACTTTGGATCTAGGTATAATTCCACTGATAAATCTCACAGTTGATTGACTTGATGACCCAGACCGCATTTCCTGAAAAGTGGATAACATGATGATTGAGCTATATTCAATCAATTCCAAAGGCAACACAATGATAAAAAAAAATCTAATTGAAAACCTGTTCAAGCAACGAGGATGCTTCACCAAAATCACCATTGGAGTACACATTCTCGTCTAACTCGGTCTCGTCAGCAACTGCATGACTATTGTGTGATACAAGAAAGCCAACTGCCTGGAATTGACCCACATGAAATCATGTGAAACAATCAAGTAATGGTATCTTCCATAAAAGTGCATTATAGCACTTTTTTTCGTTGAATCATTATAGTACTTTTCTGTCCAAGAAAAATGACAAGTGTTTAAACAGCAACATGCATATTCTTGTTTTTCTATGGAGCAGTAACGGGCATGAAAATACAAATATAATGCAGTAATGTCCAACAGCACACATGCCATGAACTTCTATAACACAAGGTAGAAGTGAGAACCCAAGGCCTCTATTCATTAGTTCAAGATGTGCACTGTACTCTGTCAAAACAGGACTATCGTGAGCCTAGAACTCAGGGCCGGAAAAAAGAGAAGCTAGAGAGTGAAATATAGCATATGAAAGATGGTAGCAGTAAATGATACCACGTAATTTACCTTCTGCAAAACTATCTTGAATTCTAAGAGTTCATTGAACGACTGCTGAAGTTTCTCACTGTTTGAGTTCATCTCAATTAGCTCATGTTCATGTTCAGCAAGTTGTACCTGATATTGGTAGAAGTATACAGAAGTACAGGATTATTCAGTTAAGGATCCTAGTTGAGGTGGAAATGAAGGCTTTATGAACATGACTGCAAACATGAGGGGATATTAAACCCATTGTTTCCGCCCAAGAAAGGATTCAGTAAGTGCACCTCTAATTCCTCCAGCTCAATATCAGGTTCCAGTGTAGAATGAGCAGAAGACAATAGACCAGCTTTTTGTATTTGATCTTTGAAAAACCTCAGCTTCCTTGACATTTCTCCGCATCTTTTGACCTATGAAATAGACTCCGGATATCAAACTAACCATTATTGCAAGAAATAAATGCCACATTTTCACTTGACAGTCAATGCAGAAGGAGTTGAAATACACACATAAAAGAAAGGGCTCCCAGCCATGCGTACATTACGTACAAATAGGGGGGGGGGGGGGGGGGGGGGGGGGGGGAACGAGTTGGAAAGTACAATTAGCAATCCTAAATATGTACATTTTCAAAGGCAAGTACAAGACATCAAAGATCCAGGAAAGAATTCAAAAATTGATGCTCAGCATCGCTAGCAAAAACAAATCAGATAGCATAACCAGAAAAATACTCATCCACTAATACCCAACATTGACACTGCTAGATTTTTCTTCAGTTTTCAGATTGCTTAAGCAGTCGTTGTCGCAAGAAACTCAGGAGCAGCTTAAAACAAATGTTGTCATAGCAATGCAAGTTATTTGTGGCTCTATGAATGATACCTGATTGACAAATGTTCGCTGGAAAGGGCTTTTATCAGCATTCATCTGCAAAGGAAACGACAATGAGATCAGTACAACATATTCGTATTAAGATACTGACACAAAATCTTCAGCACATACGTCTTTGCTGCTGCTCTCGAATTAAACTTAACACCAAGTTGCAGATTGCAGGACAACCAATGTACGCTGCCAAGTTTATCCGATGCACGAAATATGTGGAGGCTTAGAACACTAGATTTTGCTAACTGGTACAAGCATCAACACCAATGCTCTAGCAACTAAGAGCATTTAGCTTGCTAAATGCCAGTCATTTTCTGATGTGAAACTTCAAAACTCACTCCATTCAACTGAACACTCAAATAGTCAACATCAGGGAACCGCAGAAACAGAGCAACGCTGCACATACCACTTCGTACATCAGTACCACGAGCCGAGTTTCAACATTCTCCACAACCAGACCTCTCATTTCACCAATTTCCAGTTAAGCAAATTCAGTTCCTCGGTATCTCCTCTGTATGCTATCAATTGCCTCCAATGCACACTCAAGAAAGAGATCGTTCAACCACTACCGAGCAATACTTCCTTACTATCCCCTATCCATAGATGCTCACACTTAATACTACCAACTCCATATTACCGGAGGAAAACCTCAATCGCTGAAAATCCTAAATTCTTCCCAGGTTAAATACAGTGGGGGGACAACGAACGGAAATACCGCAGCCTAACCTTTCCTGGATCGCGTAGAAATTTAAACACGCTAAGCCTACGCGATAGAGCAAACACAGAGGACGGATCTCATAAGAAAGCAGAAGGGAGAAAACGCGGTAAAAACTCACGTCGCGGAATTGAAGAAGGCCGAGTTCGCCGAGGTAGGAGATGGCGCGGTGGGCGGACTCGGCGGGGATAATGAGTTGAACGAAGGTCATCTTCTCGGAGCGCATCAGATCCATGGACGGCAGATTCTCTATGAACTGGTCCATCTTCTGAAGAGCCATGGTTGCCGACTGCGAATTTGTGCGAGAGAGAACTCACCGTCCTCTCTTCTCTCGCTGCCTTCACTCCGTCTCCGAGGATACCATACAGGTGGAGCGAGAATGGAATGTGATGGTTGGACGGATCTGTATTTATTAAACCGAAAAGTGAATCGGAAGCAAGAAAGGTCTCAGATCTGTGGGGGAATACTATGAAACAGTTATTTTTTACTCTGCCTCCTGTCCTGTGTGTTTGCGTACAATGTTGAAGGAGAAGTAGGAAAAAGGGGAAATGGAGGAGAGGGTGCGTTTTTCAGGTGATGTGCTTGCGTTTTATGTTTCCGGTGATGGCCTGCCTGATCGCACTTGGCTTGCAGCCTAAACTGCCAGGTAACGCGGAATTCGCTTCCGATTTTGTTTTCCCCCTTTTTAGTTTCTACATTTTTTTCTTTTTGTTATCTGCGACGAGTCAAAACTCAATTTGAAAGAAATTTATTCATCCAAACAAAATTTTGAACGGAAGTAAGAGCACCTTAATTTATTCGGGGGAAAATGAGATCCACATTTCCCTCTACAATAGGCCTCCCTGCTTTTTCCCCTCTCTTCCTAAAAAACGTTAGCAAATGATTTTTGTTGTGGCATGAATATTTTTATATAAATGAAAAAAAATATTAATCGAGTAGACAGATTCAATCTCATGGTGATCTTTAGCATACAATTTGATATAAATAATTAAGTGATATACTATTGACGTTGTAATTATCAAGGGATAACCTCTAGTCATGCTGTTGGTCAAGGGTGTTTATATCTGAGTCTGATACAAATGATGTCTTTCTTTGATTGTGCAATGTGTAGCAGGTCTCATTCAGTGGTTGTGGATGATCGTGAGGGATGGATCCAGGGCTGTTGTTGAGGCAAAAGGAATGGGGTTTGTCAGAATGTTGGATCCTATGCTCAGAAAGAAAAGAAAAGCGGGATGTTGCTCAAGCACAATATAGTCAAAATCGCGTTTTAAAATTTAAATACTTACGTTTTTATTTTTTTAGGTCACAAAAACGTATTTATGCAAAACCCCAGATTTTATAATTAATATAGTTAAAAATGCGCTTTAAAACATAAAAGCTTACAGTTTTACGCTTCTAGATCACCAAAACACCTCTACGCAGAAACACATTTTTTACTACATTGCTCAAGTGTATAATTAGCATGGCGCTTCAAGATGTTGTTTCGGTGGTGTGTGGAGGCGGGACGTTAGAAGGTTTTGATCGAAGGGGAAGAGAAAATAGTGATTGTGAAGGAGGGAGGGAGGGAGACAGAGAGAGAGTCTGTGTGAGCATTGGGGAGGGGAGAGGTCGAGCGTTTCTTCTCCTTTTTGCAGGTTTCCGGCAGGCAGGCAGCTTCAAGGTGGCGATCATAGGGACCGCACTCGTTAAGAGGTGAAGATCGGATCAAAGGTTGTGTCCATTGAGGAATATTACTAGGCACGGGGCCCTTTTGAAACTCTCTGTGGCTGGGGAGGTTTGGCGGCGACGTTTCATCTTCCTCGAGCCTGAGCATGGAGTCTGGTTGCAGTCTATCTCCTATCGTCCTAAGGTTGATTCTCCTCTCGCTAGTAAAATCATCAGGGTCCGATCTATCTCGGTCTCTTCTCTACGATTTCGGGGAGAGTCGCTCCTAAAAATTGAGAAAGTCAACAAGGCGGGACGAGGCTTCTTTGTCATTATCCCGTGGGATCCCGCCGGTTGGTCAGAGTTTTGGCGTGCCGCTCACTCCTTCCTCCCCTCCCCCCCCCCCCCCCGGGCAAGGACCAGTGTCATCTCCCGCAAGTTGGCCTCCCCTGTTACGCCTGGTAGATCCTTTGCCTCGGTTCTCAAAGTGGGCCTTTTGTCAGAGTTCGGGGAATGTTCTTCTGCTGTTGCTGGTGATCTAGTGGAAGTTCATGTTTCTGACCTTGGCGTTCAAGACAGAAGAGATTTTCTAAGCCTTTGCTTGTGTTTAGAATTCTTTGATGTCCATAATGTTGGTCTTCCGTTTGACCTCAATGAGGATTTCATGTGCTGGGCTCAACGAGCTTGGAAACTTGGACAGGGTTTTAGTTTTACCAGACGTATCGGCGATCATTGGATGCTCATTTGTCCCTCCCGGCAGGAGGCTATTCGGGTGCAGACTTCTAGAGTCAAGAAGTTTCGTGGCTATAACGTTGTCTTACGTCTGTGGCATGACCAGGATGGTTTTAGTCTTGCGAGTCATGATGTGGCATTGAGGAATATTGCACCAGGCACGGGGCTCTTTTGAAACTCTCTGTGGCTGGGGAGGTTTGGCGGCGACGTTTCATCTTCCTCGAGCCTGAGCATGGAGTCTAGTTGCACTCTATCTCCTATCGTCCTAAGGTTGATTCTCCTCTCGCTAGTAAAATCATCAGGGTCCGATCTATCTCGGTCTCTTCTCTACGATTTCGGGGAGAGTCGCTCCTAAAAATTGAGAAAGTCAACAAGGCGGGCAAGGCGGGATGAGGCTTCTTTGTCATTATCCCGTGGGATCCCGCCGGTTGGTCAGAGTTTTGGCGTGCCGCTCACTCCTTCCTCCCCCCCCCCCCCCCCCCCCCCCCCCCGCGACAAGGATCAGTGTCATCTCCCGCAAGTTGGCTCAAAGTGGGCCTTTCGTCAGAGTTCGGGGAATGTTCTTCTGCTGTTGCTGGTGATCTAGTGGAAGTTCATGTTTCTGACCTTGGCGTTCAAGACAGAAGAGATTTTCTAAGCCTTTGCTTGTGTTTAGAATTCTTTGATGTCCATAATGTTGGTCTTCCGTTTGACCTCAATTAGGATTTCATGTGCTGGGCTCGGCGAGCTTGGAAACTTGGACAGGGTTTTAGTTTTACCAGACGTATCGCCGGCGATCATTGGATGCTCATTTGTCCCTCCCGGCAGGAGGCTATTCGGGTGCAGTCTTTTAGAGTCAAGAAGTTTTGTGGCTATAATGTTGTCTTACGTCCGTGGCATGATCAGGATGGTTTTAGTCTTGCGAGTCAGGCTGGGCTTAGATGGATCATGGTATGTGGTATTCCCTTGCATCTCCATTCTCGGTCGGTGTTCAAAAGAGTCAGTGACCTGTGCGGTGGTTTCATTGACGTGGATGTGGGTTGTTGGAACGATCCCTTCACTGTCATCAAAGTTAGAGCTGTCATTGGTTTTCCTACCCAGATTTCCTTGTCAGGGACCTCAGGTTTCCCCAGTCTCCATTTTCTCCCCACCGACGGACCATTTTGGACGGTGTCGTGATGTGGTTGACGGGACTGCGAGAGATGAAAGCGTGCCTCGAGAGCAGCTTTTGGGGTCTCGGGATTCGGCCCAGCCGTTTGTTTCTTCTCCCAAAATGGAATATGAAGAGTCACCGCCCTACTCTCCCTCGTGCGATCTTGTTGCTTCCCGGGCTTCGCCATCCCTACCTAAGCCTAAGACCAAGAAGATCCGGGTTAGGAAGTTCGGCTCGTTCTTGCCTCCTGAATGGTCCATTTACCCGAGCCCACCCCTTTCTCCACTCGCTAGACTCCAGGCCTTGGGCCACTTGACCCCGGCCTCTCCTTCTTCTTCCTTTGGACTTGCCTTATCCCCCTCCATTTCCCTTCCAAATCCCTGTGTTTCTATGAACTTATTCTCTGCTTCTCAGTTCATCCTTCTCACCTTCAATAATTCCCCTTATCTCCACATGTCCCTCAACCTGTTTCTGGTGACTCCTTCGACCCGTCTTCCTTGTAACCTCTGCCACCTTTTATACCTCCATCGACAAACCCATAACCCTTTCCCGTCCTCCTCCCTCTTCCCCCCCCCCTTCTCAACCCCTTCCCTCGCGGAGTTTGATGTGCTCCTCGGTTGACTCCTTATTCCTTGTCGATTCTCTGTCGGATAATGATCTCTTATTGGAAGAACACTGTGGTGAGTTTGGCCCTAGAGCCCACGATTGCTCGGAAATGAACCCTTTGGCCATTGTGCAGTTTCGCCCAATTGATAAGTCTTATCTCAAGGAGTGGCGAGCTGAGCTTGATTTCACGAGTTTATTAGAAGCCGCTCATCACCTTGGCCAATTGTTGAAAGTCAATCTGGCTTATTCGAGTTCCGATGTTGATGCCCAATTTGAGGAGTTGGCCGCCAAGGTGAAAAATAGGAAGAAAAGAGCTCCTAGCTCAAAGATGGATATGGAACTTCATCATCTGGGCTCTCTTGAGTTGTTGCCCCTATCGCCATGTGGGAGGCGTAAGAATCGCCCTGGAGGTGTTGAGGAGAGTCTCTCCCGAAATAGGGGATCTCTACCCCGGCAAGGGTTTGTTCCTAACCTTTCTCTATGATTAACTCAATTTTGTGCTGGAATGTGAGGGGTCTGGGAGAGACGAATAAAAGGGTTCATGTCAAGGCCATTATCAAGCGTTGGAGTGCTTCTATTGTGAGTCTGGTGGAGACTAAATGGAGTTCTTGCTCTAAGTTTTTGATCAAGTCGGTAAGTGGTAATAGGCGCTCCTCTTGGGCTGCTAAGGACGCGAGTGGATCTTGTGGTGGTATTGCGGTTTATTGGGACAATGCTGACTTTAAGCTCCTTAACTCTTGGGAAGGAAAATTCTCACTTGCGGTTAGGCTTCAAGATTGTAATCAATGCAGTCAAAATCGCGCTTTAAAACTTAAAAGCTTACGTTTTTACCATTTTGGATCACCAAAACGCTTCTACGTAGAATCGTAATTTTCCCTTACAAATGTAGTCAAAATCTAAGTTTTAAAACTTAAAAGCTTACGATTTTACGCTTCTAGGTCACCCAACCGCTTCTAGGTAGAATCACGCTTTTAACTGCATTGATTGTAATAGTAAAAATATTTTGGCTGCAGTTCCTTGAAGAATTGACAGGGTAAGCAAGCTGGAGTTCCTTGAAGAATTGAATTTTATTTGCAGCAGGTATAGTGCTCCGATGTGTATCCTGGGGGATTTTAACCTTGTGAGATCAGACGATGATTATATGGGGGGGGGGGGGGGACAAGGTG